CCCAGGTCTACGCTTACTGCTCTGAACGCTAGACCAGGGGCCTTCCAGATGTTGTTGGGACTCCAACTCCCATCCACCCCAATCGGCATGGCCAGTGCTTACGGATTTTTGAGAGCTCTCATCCAGCCACATCTGGGGGAATCACAGATTCCCCATCCTGGACCATACTCTCTCTGCTAGTTAAACAGTGAAAGTCTAACATCTGGCTATACATTTATTGTATCCAGCATACATTCAAGTAATAACATATGCAAACAAGGCTATAAATTTGATATGGCATAATGTTTTTGACAAATCCATACAGGCAGCTGCTTTCTGTGTTTAGCAGACAGAAGTGCAGAGAGAGCACCCAGCCATTGTGAACAAGCATCCCTTGTTACAAATTCTAAGAGAGATTGCTAAACTCTGGTCATAATCCTTCTAGTTATGGGGAGAAATATTTAGCAACTGCCATATTTCTTTTCCTTTAATGATTGTAGTTACGGGGGCAGGGGGAACCTGACACATCAAATGTGACTTTTAGAAGGTTAAGTCCAGACCATAATACTTTAAAAAATATAATGTGGAGGGGATGGCATTCAATAAGCATTCAATCTGCTTGAAAACCGACAAACAAGAGTGCTAATGACCAATGCCAACCAATTCGAAATCCTATTTTAGGATTTTTTTCAATTTTCATCACTATGCCTTCTCATCCCAACTACCATGCTGCCTCGTCCTGGTTTTACCTCTAGTATGTGTTTGTACTATGGCTTGTGTACTTTTAATATGAATTCAGAATAAAAGTGAAAGTTTATATTTAAAAGTTCAACTTTGTCGTGTAGGCCGGTGATATAGGCAGACCTAGAACAAGTCATGAACTCAGACTCTTAGACACATGAGCAGGGGTGGGGTATGTGTGTCAGCACTTACTGACTTAAATCGAGAAAAATGTGATTGTAGGCTTCCACAGTCCACAAATCCTTTTAAATAAGTGTATTGATTATGTGTGTGTATGTATGTTACATATAAGACTCTGGACCTTCCTTCCTGGAGAGGCTAGACTGGCTCTCTCCTTGTTGTTCTGCTGGCAGGTGAAGACCTTCTTGTTAATTTTGGAAATTAACTGCATTTAATGAAATGGCTGGTGCTATGCTGTTTTTATTGTAATTATTTTCATGTTTTAAGTAGGTTTCATATACTGTATGTATATAGTTTTAATTCTATCATTGTTTGATTGCATTTTAATGTTTAATGTTTTTGGCAGTTCTTGTTTCTATCTGTAAGCTACCTTGAGTCCCATCAGGGAAAAAGCTGGGGTAATAAAATAAAATAAAAATAATAATTCTTCCCTGGAGTTTTCATTAGAGGACCACTTGATTCGTTCCTCGGACAAGTGATTTTTGGCTTGTAATTTTGGAGGTAGTAATCATCGCTGTGTACGTATTTTAAAAATAAACCAGAGTTTTGTTCAGTAAACGAGGAAGAACACCCTGCCCCCTTTTAACCACCCTTCCTCCCTGCCATAACTCCCACCACCTACTAAAAACATTTGCCAGGTGGAAATTAGCTTGTTTGGTACTTGTTATGATGTTTGACATAATTATCAAAATAAAAGCAAAATCAGCCCCAGTGTTTCTCCACTCACAATGCTGTCAATTAAAGATCTACAAGAATTATTACATATACAGACCTTGGGGGAAAACGTTTTCTCCTTCACTATAAATCCTGACTCCACAGAGTATTTTTATTACTGTACTGCATTTCTCTAGTTGCCTTCTGTGGTTTTTGCCAGCTTCTCCTCTTGGCTTCCATGTGGAATTTAAAAGGTTTCTTCCTCCCCCCCCCCCCTTTTGAATAGCTGTGTCTGACATCAATGCCATGTCATGACACGAAGCTGACTAATAAAAGTTAGACTCCATTGGTTCATCTAGCTGAGTATTGCTTACTGACTGGCAGAGGCTCTCTATGGTTTTGGCCAGGGGACATTCCTGGGGCCTTCTGTGGGTGAGCTTTAAGTTTTCTGTGTTATTTATGCATACCCTCCAACATTCCTCCAATGGAAATAGGGACGTCCTAAGGAAAAGCGGGATGGTTCCGGAATCAGATCAGAAACTGGGCTGGCTTCTGTAAACCCAGGACCATCCCTGGAAAATAGGGACACTTGGGAGGGTCTGTTATGTGATGGTTGCCGTCACCAGGTTGCTGCCATGTGCCAGGACTGGGAGTGCCCTACCGTGTCATCTGATGTCATCTTGGGACACCAGGTGCTTCAACACAATAGATTAGAAGCTTTCAAGTCTCCAGCTAAGCTTAGTGGCATGGAGAAGCTATGTAACTTCTCTGTGCCACGAAGGATTTGAGTTATGATAGGAAATAGCATGGGACATCTCTTGGACTGGTGCAAGTGAGTTAAGGGGGCTGTGCAATGTGTGGAGAAACCTGAGGGATGTTAAATTATCTGCAAGTTGTATGGAGAATAGGGTGCCGACTAGCTCATCTGATGCCCCCAAATCTTCTCCTTTGTTCTCCACTTGTTCCATGGCTACCCTACATCCCAGACTTGCACCTCGTAATGCTCATCAAAATGAAGAACATAGAGAGAAGCCCTGCAGGATTTCCCATAGTGGCCAACAAAATGCCCACAGGAAGCTCACAAGACATGAAGGCAAATGGCTTCTTCCCATTCCCGCCCCTCTGCTAATTGAGACCTACTGCCTCTGAACGCAAAAGATGTTTGTAGCCATCATGGCCAGTAGCTATCACAGCAAGTCCAACTCCACTCTCCTTCAGAGGAAGCGAATAATGCCTTCGTTATTAATTCAAACTTAACTGAACCCCTTTGTGTCAATACTCGTCATAACCAATGACAGAGACTGAGTAGAATGCCATCACATCAACTGGGGAGAAGAGATTGCAAAACATACAAACCATCATCAGTGTCATGGTTAGTGTGTGTTAAATTGCAATCCAGAAAAAGATTATATCACAATATATAGATTTTAGCTTTTAAATGAGTAGATCTGCAACATTTGTGAATGGATAGGGTTTTTACTTTAAAAAAAAATTGCATGAGAATTTGTTTTAATTGTTGGAACCTGCCTGGGGACTTGAGGGCGAAGGGCAGGTAATTAATAACAGGCAATACGCCAGGTCAGTGATGGTAAATGTACAATACTTCAGTGATGTTGTATAAGCCACTGAGCCTGTTTGCAGTCCCTCATTTTCAGGAAACCATCTGGAGCACATTTCTGAGGTTTCAAGACAGGCTGACATGCCCGTGCTTTCTCCATAACTGTTAAGATTTAGAAATTCCTTTTAGAAGGATTCTCCAGGATTTATCAAGAATTGCTTGGGCACTTAAAACTCCTATGTGGAATGGCAGTATCCGTTCTTATTTGGGTCAGTTCTTGTTCCATCTTGCCCTAAATGAGTCCCTCAGAAAAAGAGTCAATGCTGCACTCAAGTTGTTGATGTTTAAAGCACCTCAACAGTGGCTGGAATGAAGTGTGTGTGAGGAGAGCATAAATTTTAAGAACCTAGCTACCCTCTGGACCTGAATCTCACATGTTCTGAATAGATAATCCCTACTGAGGGAGAATATCCATTGCATTTTTGAAACAGAGAAACTCCTTGTCTCTACACCCATGATGATTTACAAAATACATTGAAGCCACCACCGTAATAAAACTGGAATCTTAACAAACATACCACTGATTCAAAGACGTTGGCAACATCCATTCTCAATGAAATACAAAACAGCTCACATATTTACTGAATCACCACAAGGAAAAGGCTGAGATGGGCTTCACTTGGGAGCACAATTCTTAATTTATGACCATAATCAGAGCCAGTTCTTCAGCAGCAGTTCCAAATCCCTTTTCATATCCTGCCATTTCACTATTAATGTCAGTTTATAAATTTATCCACTGGCACTGCATCTACTGAGTGGGTCATCCTGACCAGGCAATGTTCTAGAAGAACTATAGAGTGAGTTGGATACAGAATATTATTTTTTTTTTAAACAGGATGTTATTTTCTATTGTCTTTGAACTCTTCCCCAGGAAAATCTCAAACTGTTACATCTTTCAATACAAATTCTAGTTTTCACTTCCCATTCCACATGGTCTAACATCTCCAACTGCTTTGATAAAATTTCTGCTTGGGTAAACCATTAGTCTCTCAAATATAATCTAAACCTGAATTCCTATCTACCCGTCAAACTATTTTTCTTTTCTTTTTTGCCCCCACAAGAACTGGGGTGGTGGCAAATTGGAAAAGGGAGTGAGAGGTAAGATGGTGTGAGACCATGAATAGGCAGAAGGAATGGAATAGATATTATGGGACAGTGTGTTAACCACAACCACCAAGCTACTAGTTCCTAAGGAATGTTGACTTGATTTTTTTTTTCAGTGAGTCATTTCATCTTTCTTCACAGATTATGTTTGTACACTCTCAGTTTCTGTAATATGCAGTAAAGTGAGTTAATCTGAGTGGATTTAGACACTACAGTATCATTACATTCTGCAGGAGTCAAAAGGTATGCCTTTCCCTTTAATAACATGTTAACAGAGGGTGCCTGGCGCTGCCCAGCAATCTTCAGAAGCCAAAAAATATATTGTGTTTTTTAAATGGATAGTGTAATTTGTGAGTTTGGACCTGATACACCAGACACCCTCAGGAACCCTCATGCCAAGTTTGGTGACAATAGCTGAATGAACCTATGCCAAAACATGGTCAAAGTCATGTCTCAGCCCACCATCACTAAGTTGAAAAAATATGGAAAGACATAGATAGCAAGCCAGCAGTGAGATGTTTGTAAGCCTATTAAGTCGGTTAGGTGATAGCCATTAAGGTAAAGCAAATTTTAATGTGGTTAGACAGTACTGACAAAGATCCAAAAATGGGTCGAACATGCACATTTAACAATCTGTAGACTGAGTGAACACACGTTGCTTGATGCTTAGAACACTGAATTTTCAATAGTCAACTTAGCAAAAAACCCAAGGAAAGTCACCAGCACGTAATACAGTGTAGTGTTTATTGTATGTAATGGAAGGTACACTTGAATTTCAAAAATTTAAAACATATAAAAAGTGGTTAAAGGGCTAACATTTTATCAACATTTGATAAATGCATTAAGAACGTTTATTATACAGCAGGGTACAATGTAGTGTTAATGCCAACGGGGCACCATGGAAATTAGTCTTTAAAAAATTCCACTATGTAAGCTTTATACAAACAAAACCACTTGCTGCTGTTTAAGATTGTATGGAAGAGACTGCTGTCTAAGCAGTCTTACAACAATTTTTAATATTAGATAGCATCAGTCATTAATTTGGGTGAGTGTTTCAAAAAGGAAAAAAAAGTAGAAATGTTGTCATTCACAGAAATGCACATCCAAGTCTTGTTTCTGATAAGAACAATAGGTACAGATTGTAACTCTCCCTATATGAAATAATTTACACACAGATGAAAGCTAGGAACACTAAAATAATCACTAAATAGAGTTCTTCCTGGAAATAAACAAGCCATTATGATTCCTGCACGATTGGATATGGAAAAAAAACATAGTTGAAATAGTATTTCTCTTTTTAAACATAATTATGATTATTCTAAAATAAAAAGGGAAACAAATCAGCAAAATGTGCAACCTAAAATCAGCCAAGCTTATATTGTAGTACAACCATATTAAGAAACCACTGGTCAGAAATACAACTGCATTGGGAAAAAGTTTATAATCCACAAAACTCTTTGCCAGGCCATAAAGTAAAACAGCTCCACAGTTTACACAAGTAAAACTGAGGCAACATAGATGCGTGCTTAGGTTGTCTCCAGTTAAAGCAGATATTCAGGCAGATGATGTGACACTTTGTTTGTACACAGCATGGTATGCATTTCGGAGCAAGACATATGGAAAGCAAGACTCCAGAAGATCCATGGTCAGGAATGGAGACTCCTGGACGATCTAAAGTGAGAGGAGAGATCACATCAGAAACCTGGTAAGGAGTGGAAATCCCAATGCTGCTAAAATGACAAGCTACCAGCAAGGAGCGGGGGAGGAGAAGGAAATGCAGAGAGGCTCAAAAGAGTAGGGTTCAAAAGCGTTTCATGATTTTTGTTTTTTAAAGTAATTTTTCTGCTATGCTGCCCAACAGTATTTTGACCATTTGTTGAATTCTACACAGAGTGCTTGTCAAAGCCTCTTTTACCTAGGATAAAACTTTTGGAACAATCACTGGAATGAGAGCTTACCATGTCTAGCAGTAGGTAAACAGATTCTCTGTTCCTTGTAGTGGTTTTGTCTGTCTCCTGACCGATTTTCAGTAGACTAGAGGATGCAAGCTAAAAAAATTCATAAATAGCAAGTAAGTTTTCTACTCATCTAAAGCCACTTTAAAAATCATTTTAATTTCCCGACACATGCAATTTCAGATATAAGATTTAACATGACATGATCTCTAATGTTAGATAATGCAATGGGGTTATGGATGTGGAGCATTCCACAACAATGAAATGAACAGGACAGACCAATTGTATAGCTCAATTTGTGTACTGGAATCCCTGATCAGACCAGTTATTCTGCAAGACAAAGTTCACACATGCTTGCAATATTGACTCAAATCCTTTACAGTCATTGTTGCAATCAGAACCATATAGGAAAAGCCACCATAATGTTGTTGGCTTGAAATCAAAAGTTAAGGTTGTAAATGTTAATCACAGTACAGCTGAAAGCCTTGGTGGAAATGAATGATTTCTGGAGCAGGTCAGCCCAAAATAAAAACTGTACATACAGCCAAGAATTCTTTGAGACGGTCTTCAATGCTTCCCTTGTGAATGGTAAATAAAGCTGCAGCAATCTGGTTGATTGCTTTGGCCAGGCAATGGATATTGTTGCAGTGACCTAAACAAAAACACATTTGTGATATTACTTTACCTTCACTCACACTCTGAACATTTTAGCTGAATGGAACGTGTCGTTTGAATAGGAGCAGAGTTAAGTTTAGCAAGGGATTAACTTTCAAATATAATATGGATAATCTTCATTTAACAAGGAGGAAGTAAAGATCTCTAAGAACCTTTTGAATACAGTAAAAGACATTACACACAGGTCCTGCTATCTGCACACTCAATATCCAAAAATTCACTTATCCACAATTGAAAAAATTATGCCCAAACCTCACTATATGCTCCACAGATTCACTTATTCGAACAGCCAACTTTCTTACTTCCTTCTTGTGTTTTTTTGTTGGTGGCAGCCATCTTTAGGCAGAAACCACGGAAAGATGGAGGGAGTGAGATCAGATGACTCAGAAAGCAGGAAAAATGAAACAAATCAGGGACAGGAGAGATTGGGCAAATCATCCCCCCCCCATTGCATCTCTTTTGCTGATTGGCTGCAGCCATTTCAAGAAGAAACCATGGAGAGATGGAGGAAACAGAAGGGACAAATCTTGTATTAGAAATGTTTCCATAGGAAACAAGGGGAATTGTGGAATCATTATACCAACAATTGCATAACAAACAATTTCCAGGGAACTCATAAAGCGGGGCTACATTTATTCCAAAATCTGTTTCAAAGACTGATTTCTGGTTTTCTTCTTAATTTATCAGTTCCAAAGTTCTGTTCTGAAGACCTGAATCCTGCCAGGTGCAAATAGAATGGCGTGTGTATTCGAGTAAAGACGGGGCAACATGGTAACTAGCACAGGAATATGAGAATTATGAATGCTTCTAATGCAAATATCTAGTATGAAAACTAGTTTCAATATGACTTCCAAATAGTACTCAGCATTGTTCCTGTGCCCCCAAAAGCCTCCAGTCAAGTTTTAACATTTCCTAATCAATAGGACATTTATGTGCAACGGGTAGAACACATTCTTGGTAAGGATCCCTAGAACCAAAGTATGACTTGAAGTGAGAGATTTTTATTTCCTCTTTCAAAGCAACCATTGTGAGATATAAAATTGATGTACTATTCAACACCAAAAAGGACCAAACACCAATATCATAAAATGAAAGCAAATAAATATTCCAGATGAACATTTAATATAATTTCCCCCCTCCCCCCAGAACAAATTTTCACACCAGTTTGTCTGAATATTACCTTCAATGGCAGGACTGTATTGAGACATCACATTACTGGCCAAAGTTGGTAAGGAGACAGCCACAAAGACCATCAGAAGGCAGGCAATTTTATATTCTTCCTCTGGACTAATGTTTTCTGAAAATAAATACAAATTTAGGAGATCCATTATAACTGGGTGGGTTCAAAACTCCTAAACTAATACTTCATCCATTCACAGCATTGGTAATGTTTCTGAGCCAAATTCTGTGTTATTTGGTTTGAGCTAACAAAGATCAGTACTTTAGAGTAGCTGGGGAAACCCAGTCAGATGGGCAGGGTAGAAATAAATTATTATTATTATTATTATTATTATTATTATTATTATTATTCCAATTCCACCAAGTGTGGCATAACCAATACTCTTCCACAACAGGTATCACTCTGTATAAACCAAGAGTATCTTGGTCGCACACCCCAACACATTTTCAGGGAAGGAAAACGAAACTTAAGAAAAATAGGATGCATTTTTTTAATTCCTAGAAGAAAATTTATCTAACAGCTATTCAAAGATTTTATAGCTCAATCAAAAGTAACCTAATGACAAATTGCAATTGCAAGAGGTTTCTTCCCTCTTAACTCCAGTGGTCAGCAAAGTTATTTCAGGCTTCCTTTTGAAAGATGCCCAGAATGTCTTCACATAGGAACTAGCTCAGCATGGCCACCAACCGAGAGCTGTTCATAAATGAGTGCTACTCCTCTAAAGTAGTTTCTACACCAGTATTTCACATTCCTGGGCCAACTTGAATAAAATATTGGGTGGGGGGGAGGTAAGCCCCACCCCACATAACTGATCACATGACATGCCACATGCATACCACTGGAAAGGCAATTCCCATAAACTGGGGTGGGGGGTGGGTTGGGGGGCAAAGGGACCTCGGCCCCTAGGAGTTGGCTCCTGGGGGCATGTGAGGAAGCCAGCCATAAAAAGTCACTCATCAATAACAAAAGCATTTGCAGTCATTTCAATGTAGTATTATCACTATTAACCCTGAGAAATACTAAGAAAATGTAACTAGAGATCAGAGCTGCAACATTCAATCAAATACAAATGTAATTGTTATATATTTAAGCTGACAAACCCTGAGTTTTGGCATCTTGGTTAAATTATGTGAAGTCATCCAAGTGTCTTGCAGAATACATGTATATTTGGTACTCAATGTGCACAAGTATAGTTTCTTTGACATCCTTCAGGTTTCTCCATTTAGAACAATATCATAGCTTAGCATTACATGCAAACACAGCCAATATCCAAAAACGTTATGCAGCCGCATACCTGATTTTTGGGAAGAAAGTGCTACAACCAGAGCAGGATCTATCTCACAAGGCAGTCCCGCAGCTGAGGAGAGCTCATATACATTCATTGCAACCTGAGAGACAGAAAGGTACTGCAGAGTGAAAAAGGCCAGAATAATTTTGTGGAATTTGTCAGAGCAGACATTGTAAAATATTTTCAGCGTTCACATTAAGTTACACATGAGAATGGAACCATGGAAGAACAGAAGCACCTTTGGTGGCAGCAATACACCTAGCTTATAGTGAAAAGCTCCATTAGCGCCACTTCTGCTAGCTGGCTGTCATCTCTCTCATGCCCCTCTGCCAAAAATTTGTATACCCTCCGAAACCATATTCAACAGCAACCTTTTAAGATTCCAACAAGTTCTCAAACTGGACAAACAGAAAACTTTGTTAAGCCAAAGCATATAATGCATTAAATTAAAGCTGCCATACCGTGTCTACCAAGACTAGGTTCTGAGGCCTAAAGTGCAAAAGGGTTTCATAATCCATTAGGAGACTGGATGCTGATCAACTCAAAAACTAAATTGTTCGAAACACTTTTTGAATTACCCCCTTTGAAATGCTGTGTCCTTTTTATTTTATGACTTGCTCATTTAGTACAAACCAGTGACTCCCAGCAGTTTGCAAAAGAGAAATACTGGAATCATAACTAACCACAGAAGTATGAAGCTGTATTAATTTCATTTTAATGAGGTTTACAGAAATATATACAAGTGCTACATCTGTCTATACATTCCTGCTTTTGGCATAATATACAATTTTAGAAAGAACTAAAAACAAACAAACCCCATTATTCTCACAAGCAATTACCTTCATATCTGTCTCTCTTGGAATGTGATCCTTAAAGTCTTCAATTGAACTTACAAGGAAAGGAATGTGATATGATAAGACCTAAGACAAAGAAGCATGCAACAAAATTGTTACTTTTGGCTACTGTATCTCCTAAGACAGCATGTTATGACTTGGTTGCATTTATTCTACCCTCTCCCCTCAGTTTATGCATTAAGAAGCCTGGAAGCATCATGCCAGAATCTTGCAGCAGGAGTGGAAAAACACCGGCTAACAAGAGTTTTGAATACTGCATTGCTTTGGGTCTAAAACAGCCGTATGTCAATTTCCTTTATTTTTTTAAAATGAAAGGTTTGATTCTTTCAGCATATGTATGCAACGTACTTAATTTCAATTAAGATTTGATTATTCGTATTTAGTCTTGCAATCCTTTCACCACAGCACAAGCAAGCTGTGTTTTATTCAATCAACTGATCATTTATTGTATTTGACTAAAAGCCATTACAAATACATTTACAAAACCAGCAAATCCAATAAAACCTAATTAAGAAAGATCCAGAAGTAAGCAACCATTTACAATAAATTAAATTAATGAATCCCCTGCACAATCTACCGCGTTGTCTTTTATGTGGCTAGCACGAATACTTTTAGTAGCTTTTGCAAATAAAGCTGTGTTATATGGAACAAGTGGGTTGCAGTCAGATAACAGCCAACGTATTTTCACTTTGGTGTTCTGTATCTGTAGTGGTGTCAACATCTGTTCCAAAAATCTCTTTCTGGGGTTTTGATAGATCTGAGAATGGAGTATGTAATGGGGAAGAGCTTCTACTTCACCTACCCCACAGATACAGAATCTTAAATGCCTTGGAATGTGCTAATATTTAGCGATTTAATCACTTTTTACTTTTACTTATCTATTCTTAGGCTTGCATGTGCTTAAATGTCTAACACTAAAGTTATAATTCCAAATGCAGTACTTACATCTCTAAGAGCTTCTTGTGCCAATGACCGGAAAGATAAGATAACACCGATAATGGTCATCCTCTTCAAAACACTATCAACAGCTGGGGGGGAAAGAAGAAGAAAATGCCAGGAACAAGAATGCTTTCTCCCTGCCCCTCCCTGTTTGATGTCTGTGGGAGATTGAGGCCATGCATAGTTGCCTCTCCACCAGCTTCAAGTCTCTCTCTCTCTCTCTCTGTGTGTGTGTGTGTGTGTGTGTGTGTGCGTGAGTCACAGCATCACCCAGTCATGGCATCTGCCACAGACAGACTAATATTAACAGCAAATTAAAGTGACCACTGCTGATGAAGCAACTTTTTTGGCACATTACTCATCATAAGGGGGCGGGGAGAGCATCATTAAGTACCAAAGGCACACCAGACTCACAATAATGTTTCTCATGTGGCACCAAAAGGCAATTTTAATTCCTTTACAAAAGTGCTCCAAAAGCTATTGAATAGTTCGTTCATCCACCGATTCACTCCTTGCTGGCTGAGCATTATGAGAATCTGGGAGAACGTGGCGACCAGCCGAAAGGAGCTCATCAGTAGACAACGTATCAGTTATAATAATAATAATAATAATATATTTATACCCCGCCCATCTGGCTGGGCTTCCCCAGCCACTCTGGGCGGCTTCCAAAAGAATATTAAAATACATCAAACATTAAAAGCTTCCCTAAACAGGGCTGCCTTCAGATGTCTTCTAAAAGCCTGGTAGTTGTTGTTCTCTTTGACATCTGGTGGGAGGGTGTTCCACAGGGAAGGCGCCACTACCGAGAAGGCCCTCTGCCTGGTTCCCTGTAACTTGGCTTCTCGCAGTGAGGGAACCGCCAGAAGGCCCTTGATGCTGGACCTCAGTGTCCGGGTAGAACGATGGGGGTGGAGACGCTCCTTCAGATATACTGGACCAAGGCCGTTTAGGGCTTTAAAGGTCAGCACCAACACTTTGAATTGTGCTCGGAAACGTACTGGGAGCCAATGTAGGTCTTTCAAGACCAGTGTTATGTGGTCTCTGCGGCCGCTCCCAGTCACCAGTTTAGCTGCCGCGTTCTGGATTAGTTGTAGTTTCCGGGTCACCTTCAAAGGTAGCCCCACGTAGAGCGCATTGCAGTAATCCAAGCGGGAGATAACCAAAGCATGCACCACTCTGGCGAGGCAGTCCGCAGGCAGATAGGGTCTCAGCCTGTGTACCAGATGGTAATCAGCTGCCCTGGACACAGATTTGACCTGTGCCTCCATGGACAGCTGTGAGTCCAAAATGACTCCCAGGCTGCGCACCTGGTCCTTCAGGGGCACAGTTACCCCATTCAGGACCAGGGAATCCTCCACACCTGCCCGCCTCCTGTCCCCCAAAAACAGTACTTCTGTCTTGTCAGGATTCAACCTCAATCTGTTAGCCGCCATCCAACCTCCAACCGCCTCCAGGCACTCAAACAGGACCTTCACTGCCTTCACTGGTTCTGATTTTTGAAAGAGAGGTAGAGCTGGGTATCATCCGCATACTGATGAACACCCAGCCCAAATCCCCTGATGATCTCTCCCAGCGTCTTCATGTAGATGTTGAAAAGCATGGGGGAGAGGACAGAACCCTGAGGCACCCCACAAGTGAGAGCCCAGGGCACTGAACACACATCCCCACCCCCCCCACAATCTGAACACGGCCCAGGAGGAAGGAGCGGAACCACTGTATGACAGTGCCCCCAGCTCCCAGCCCCTCAAGACGGTCCAGAAGGATGTTATGGTCGATGGTATCAAACGCCGCTGAGAGATCCAGCAGAACTAGGAAACAGCTCTCACCTTTGTCCCTAGCCCGCCGGAGATCATCAACCAATGCGACCAAGGCAGTTTCAGTCCCATGATGAGGCCTGAATCCCGACTGGAAGGGATCCAAATGGTCCGCTTCTTCCAGGCGTGCCTGGAGTTGTTCAGCAACCACTCACTCAATCACCTTGCCCAAGAATGGAAGATTTGAGACTGGGCGATAGTTGGCCATCGTGGCCACATCTAAATAGGGTTTTTTAAGAAGCAGTTTAATAACCGCCTCTTTCAGCGGGTCTGGGAAGGCTCCCTCACGGAGGGAAGCATTCACCACCCCACGAAGCCCATCGCCCAGTCCTTCCCGGCTAGCTTTTATAAGCCAGGATGGGCAAGGATCAAGGAGTCAAGTGGTTGGTTTCACTCGTCCAAGCAGCCTGTCCACATCCTCGGGGGTAACAGATTGGAATTGATCCCACACAACTTGACTAGACAGGACTCTAGCACTCTCCCGCCCCGGCCCTGCTCCCACGGTGGAGTCTACCACTTCTCGAATCTGAGCGACTTTATCTGCAAAAAACTTTGCAAAGTCATTGCAGGAGATCATGTGGCCCGTACTGGGCCCTGATGGAGCAGGTGGTTCCACTAAATTGCGAACCACCTGAAAGAGTCTCCTGCTGCTGTTTTCCGCAGATGCAATAGAGGCAGTGAAGAAAGTCTTCTTCGCCGTCGCTATCGCCACTTGGTAGGCTCAACATTGAGCTCTAACCCGTGTCCGGTCAGATTCAGAATGGGTTATCCACCACTGGCGCTCTAGCCATCTCAACGATTGTTTCATTGCCCTCAGATCCGTGGAAAACCACGGGGCTCTCCGGGCTCCATGCAATCGGAGAGGGCGCTTTGGAGCCAAACAGTCAATAGCCCCGGTTAACTCCACATTCCAGCGGGCCACCAGGGAATCAGCTGAAAGGCCATCAACATGGGATAAAACATCCCCTACCACTCTCTGGAAACCATTTGGATCCATTAAGTGGCGGGGGCGGACCATCTGAATCGGTTCCACCTCCCTGCAGAGGGGAAGGGTTGCGGAGAAGTCCAGTTGCACCAGGAAGTGATCTGACCATGGCACTTCTTTGGTTTCACTTTTCCTTAGTGTCAGATCACCAACATCCATAGAGGTGAACACCAGGTCTAAGACATGCCCGTGGCTATGAGTTGGGCCAGACTTATTCAGGGACAGCCCCATGGAGGCCATGCTTTCCATGAAGTCCCTAGCGGCCCCTTGTAAGGTCGTGTCGGCATGGATGTTAAAATCCCCTAGGACAACCAAACTAGGTGTCTCCAGGAGGACATCCGCCACGACCTGAAGCAGCTCGGGCAGGGAATCCTTGGTGTAGGTTATCTTTCCAAAATCAAAAAGTTCTCTGAGGCAGCCCGCACATTATAAGGCATAAATAGATGAAAAGGCTACTAATGTGACTACCAACATATATATATGCATACACGAGTGGGGATGTATATGTATGTGAGTAGCTATATATATATATATATATAGGTTTGTGTCATGTATGTACGTTATAGCCTTAAAATAGAGACATTTATACAAAAGACAGCATGCACTTTTGGGGGCTGTAGCAGATGCTCCCCCACTAATTCCAGTGCTTCAAGCTATATGCAGATTCCCAGTTAGGAGCATAAACTAAAATGGCACTACTTGCTAGTTACTTACACGACAATCTTTTGAAGAGTGCTGCCATCTGATCTGGTTTATCAAAACTGGTCCTCATTTGCGTTAGCACTTCAACGTTCTCTACCACAAGTTTCTAAGACGAAGCAAGATCTCAGGTCAGGCATAGATCTGAGTATAGTAACAAGCGGGTGCTTTAGGACATTTCAGCGTGGCAAGCAGGAAGCAGAGCTCATGAAATCCAGATGTTCCCATTATCTGACTAGTTATACTAAGTAAGGCCCAGCTATGCACCAAACAAAAAGCATACGGTGTGATAATAAAGGCTCTCTTCTGTTCCACAAAGCACTTATAGCTCCAGTTGACTCATTAAACTTGAGCAGGGCTGCTGTAGAATAATGGAATTATTACAGTTTGAATGTCTTTTGCACAATGTGCAATGAAAACAACATGGGGGTGAGACACAATTTGCATACGATTTGCCATTCTTAGTTCCGCTTTAGGATTTCCCTTCCATATGTTTTCATGTGGATAATTATTTCTCACAAGGTAAAGAAGAGGCACACGCTTTCTGTGACTGGTCTAGACCAATCTCCTAATCACTGTCTCAACTCTATGATTAAACCTTCTCTCCCTCCACTCCCAGCGAGTTTACATTTATTCACTGTAAACTAAGGGCAGACAACTGAAAACCCCTGAGTTCAATGCAGCACTTAGGGGTTTTTCAATCTGGCCCATCCCAAAGGGATTTCTCTTCCCTTTCAAGAGCTGCAAGCTGGTGATAGGTGGGCCGCCCCTTCTTTCTCTCCCCCCCCCCTCATTCTACTACCCTCTTCTCTGTATCTCTCCCTCCTTGTCCAACAGGCTCGTGGAGGATGGACAGCTTGCTCTGGCTGAACACCTGAATTAATCACTTGCCAAGCGCATTCCTCTCCCTACTCACTCCATTTGTTTTGGCTTCTTCCCCTATCCTTCCCCCAACTCCCTATCCTTTTCGCTGGACTCCCCTAACCACATAAAATTAGGCCAAGGAGCACATGTTTATTATCCCTGCTGACCAAAGCTAGAGACACTTCCCCATTTCCTGATGCTTTCTGTTAGTAGAAGCTAAACTATAAGCTAATTCAGAGACCCCCAAACCAAGGTCATCTCTTCTGGAGAAGCAGCATACAGGAACACAAGTAATGACTGAAGTTTTGCACCAGGACAGCAAGGAACAAACTATGTGCTGGTCAGGATACAATCTAACCTGACTTGAGGCTCATGCACATTTAAAAAAAAAAAGGTCAAAGAAATAGAATACATATGAGCAGATCCAAAGATCTTCCCCAGTATTTCTGTGCAGAGTGTTTAGACATATATTGCTTATAAAGTCACTCCAACCAATGGCACATCATAACAAAAGCCTTTTGTGTGTGAGGAGAATTGAAACGCCTGTTTGTAGTATGTCGTGAGTGTTCCTCATTCAAAGGAATAGGGTCAAAACTCTGATGAGCAAGTACAAATGCTTGGACTAGTCTAAAGTAGTTCTTTGGATTCAGGCCATGTATTCTTGCTATAAAGCAACTTCTGTTTTTAATTATAAAAGCAATGACCAAAGAGAAGCAATGGAAGTTACCTTGAGTTCAGCAACCTGTGAGGAAATGTGCCACATAAGGCTTTCACTCAAGAACTTCATGCCATATGGACCAAGGAGTTCTGACAGGGCTCTCATTTCTGAGGAAGAAAAAGCATTTATTCTGCTGCAAACCAATTATATTGTCTTAATTTAATGAACACACTATATTTTATTAATTCATTCTATAAGGGCTATTGCATTTCACACATTTTAAATTTCCAGCATCCTATTTCAAATGCTCAGGATGCAACATCTGTAATATAGCGATGTATTGCAGTACAGTATGAATATTAAATAGGTGAAAATAAAAATGAAAACCCTCCATCTTAACTAGCTTAGTCTGTACTACCAGAGGTCAAGAGGCCTGATAAGAGCCTTAGTTCTCCCTAGATATTAGAGAGGGTCAGAAGCAGCAAGGGGAACTTGTAGTGCTGCTTACTGTCTCCAAAGTTTGGTATAAAAATGAGACTTGGCTTTTCCACCCACCCTGAGCCTTGGGAAAACTCACCTGATATGTCTGAATATTCTTCTGCATTGAATGTCAGTTCGTTTTCAGTAGGCAAGTTCACAAATGCTTTCATCGCTGGGAAATAGGCTATGTGGCCATTACTGACTTGCCTCAGCAAGGTTTCCAGATACCTTCACGAAAGAAACAATTATCTATTTTTACAGTAGACTACAAACATTCCTTACCATTAATTTCATTTACCACCTTAACTTTGATGAAACTGCATTGACACTGAATTTGTCACTGAGAGTTGATCTTGAAAGTCCACGTAAAGCCACAACACACATGTATTAAGAATTGCATAATCCTCAATGATGTTTCCCTTGAATAGTCAGCAACTTCATTTTAAATAAAAGTGTAGTTTGCTTTTAGTATGCAATAGAAAGCTAAACGCTGTTGCTTATTGGCATCCATTGTTCATGGCATGCGATTCAGTTTTTCTTCGACATTATCTCAATTTCAAGTTGCATGGGGAAGCAGGGCACAGCTCAGATTAAAAGCTGCAATTTGCCTCACTTTCACCTTGGCACTCTCCTCCTTCCAGATTTTTTTCTTTTCTGCATGAAAACTTTTATCTCACAAAGCAAAAGGGGTACAGGATGAAACTCAGATTCTTACCAATTTGTGTACAGACTGGTAATGGTTGGCTCCCCATGACTATCTAAGTGCTGGGTTTGTTGAAGGAGGACGTTATTAAACACTCTTGTGATGTCAATCTGTACATAATTTTCTATTGATTGGAGTACTGTCATGTAGGCTCTCACACTTGTTAACAACTCAGAAGGTTTTGCGATCTCTTGTGTTGCTTGATTATACATAGTCATGCCAACAATTGACCTTTGAAAAGAAAGAAAGTTATTAGCATGCTACTGAAGTGAACCATGAGTGCTATGTCCTGCCTAATATCAAGGTGAGCCATCACTCTTCAGACCTGGCATGTAGTGTTAACTGACCATTTGGGATAAATTTGGGATAAATTTGCACCAAGAGGCACCCGTACTTTTCTGACATTATCTGTTGTCTACTCTGACTCTGCTGAATATTGCCAACATAGAGTGAAAGCACACTGCAGCTGGGTGTTAGAAAGCTGCAAACTGGAGCTGAAGAAAGCTACTCCCCACAGCCATTGTACAGAAAGATGTATGGAGGGAAATTCAGCAATCTTATATTGAACTATTGCTATCTATTTGACCCCTGTATAAAAGTCAGATTTGCTGCTTAAAATTTGTACCAATTTAGTCCTAACAGTTACAGCTGTGAGAAATTTTAAAATTCTTGTTTCCTATCTGTTTCTCTTCTTCCTTGAGATGCAAGTCTACTATTTGCTTATTAAATCAGATAATGGCAAGGCTAATATACTAAAAGCTCCCACATACTAGCAGGATATGAATCTTTCATTTTCCATCTCCCACTCACCAACTTTGCATGTACATAATTTGAATTATGCATGCACAATTTTTCTTTTTGTAAAATAGGATTGATTCCTTAAATTTTGGGGATTTTGAAACTAGCAGGTAGAAACTGTTATGTATGGGCAACCACTAGGCTGGATGGAAGTTGAAGCAAAAGAAAAAGAAGGGCAATGTCAGCTCAAGATTAATTATTTGGTTATATTGGACGAGAATATTTTTTTTTAAATGAATGCTTTTATTAAGTTCTAGCAAATAAGTCTCAATGCTGAAAGAACATTGCTAGTTATTTTTACAAGCTTGCCCCTGACACAAGCATGCTTTCAGAGATTTCTATCAGAAACTGTCACATAACAAAAATAAAAATGGCACAGCAGCAACCAACCCACCCACACTGAGAAATAGTCACGATATAAATAGCAAAGACATGTTTATATGGGCTACTAAACTAACCATATTTTTAATGGCAGAATGGTCTGTTTTTTTGGGAATCCAGCACCGCTGACTCTTTAGTGCACAATTGCTTTTTAAAGACTTGAATCGCACAGAGCTACCTTTGCAGTGTCGAATGTGCTCCCACACCATTTGAGCAACATCACAAGCACTAGGCCATAACATGGTAGTCCCTCATATGATCTTGACACTGTGGAAGGAGGAACACTAAAAAAGCATCTGCCATGGTACAAAGGAAGTGCCAGAATAAACCTTTTGTTGTGTGGTTGATAACTATCAGACGACACACGGAGACTGTGGAGTTTGATATTAGTACAATATATAACTTTGCCCAGACCAGACGTTCATTTTAAGTTTGCAGCTGCAATGAGGAGCTCTGGGTGACTTCATGAAGTTTTTAACTGATTTAGGGATACACTGTTCCACCTCCTCTATCTCTGGGAAAATTTTGTGTTAATGGGATTATATGATGAAAAGCAGGTTAAAGTATTCTTAAAAGTATTCAAGACAACTAAGTATCAAATGTGCAAGTTGGTACCACTTACTTGGTAAAACGGATTTCCAGGTGTGATGTTAAGTATTCCCTTGGGGTAAAGGTGTGTTCCCACACAATCATGTTTGGAACGTAATTGATTGAGAAGCAGAGCTCAGAAAGTGCCGTGTGCAGTTTGTCTAGACTGCAAAAGACAAAACAAAAAATATGCACACAAACATGTAAGCCACATAAGCAATGTCATAACTATTACAGCCCCCTTCCACCTCAACCCAAAAAACATTAAAGATGGGTAAGGATATATAAGCTATTTTACAGCACAGCCATATAGTACCCTTGCCTATGCTAAAAACAATGGCATGGGTCATATACGTACAAGACAGGATTATTATACCTCACCCATTTTTTATTTTATTTTTAGCATGCTGAATGGGAATGCAGAAAAGGATTACTGTTCATAAAGGTAAGTTTGTTTTACAGGATAGGAATGCATGACATATTTTTATATAAACACATAGGATGGCATCCAATTGGTTTTTCTCTACTGATAGAAGGTACTAGTCAATGAAATTGGGAGGGATACATTTTCCAGGAATTCCCAGTCTGCAGCAGATTCGGAGGAAGCCATTGATGGAAACCTCCTCTTTTACTGTTCCACTGCCTGGTGCCTTCTTGTCAGCAGATGACATCAACTGGATACGAGCCACAAGAGCATTTTAAAAAATATATCTACAAAATGCCAGTGAATTGGTTCAAGAAGTTAGACTGCCTGTTAAGCAACATTCAAAAGAGAAGATAAGGATGAAAAAGACTCACTTGGTCACCACCAGCCTGTTTTTTCTCATGCTTTCTACTCCTGGTTTTTCTCTTTCTGGTTCTCCTTTCTTACCCGTCTGTTTTTTTGACTTTTTATTCACTGCTTGACTGATGGTTTTGGCACAATGCTTTGGCAGCAACTAAAAAAAAAATGCAGTTAGTTTCAAAATAGAGCTGCAGTTCACAAAAACCATCGCCATTAAATAGATCAAACTTCGCATTTCGATTTTAAACTGTTCATTTTGTTTCCAATATACCGAATACTTGCAAACTACTCGATACCAACTCAAGTGATTTCAATGTAGTTACTATTCCTTCTAGTTAAGAACAGGAGAAGAACAGCCTTCTATTACAAATATTATGAGCAGAACTTTATTAGAACCTTATGGAAAACTATATCATAAATTAAGAACAAAGGAGATGGCACATTTATGTGATGACTCTACACCAAGGGACTTGCAAACTAAAAATAAACCCAAGGAAAATAAAAAAAGGGAGGGAAATGGCAGCATGGACTAAACAAAGAATGTGCATTATTTCAGTGACTCATACAGAAGCTTTGCCACAGCAGGGTAATGGGACTAAAATTAAATTCTCACCTGGTCACTTAGAGTACATTGCTCAGTGCAAATATCTGTGATAAGGTTCCGAGCCTGCTTAGCCATTTCATCCAGGAACATGTTGCAAAGGGAAAGGCTACGGTCCCCAATGTGATGTCTCTATCAAGATAAAAACAGAAACCTTGTTTTTCCAAACATAGTTGCCATAGTGCTTAAAAAGGTTTTTAAAAAATCATTATCAGTGAAACATGCTTACACTAAGTTCATTTAAGCAATGAACCATGGAACAGCAATAAATCAAGCCTCACAACCAGAAGTTATCTAAATCTATTTGCTGAAGATCCAAAAAGCTTGCTTTAAAAAAAATAAATGTATCCAAAGCTGCTCTAGCAGAGCTCTGCTGGCACCACAGGACTTCCATTTCTTCTTCTCCCCCTGTGCCCCCCCCCTTTTTCTGGAGGGTCCTTCCTTAATATATGATTTTGAAGGTGCACAGGGGGGTGCAGGGGAAAGGTGAGGAGGGAAAATTTCACTTCTGTATCTGCACATCCCTTGCACTAGCAGAACGGGAGCACTGGATACTGTTCATTGTGTATACAACTTAAAATGTCCACTTAATCAAATGTGACTCCCTAAAAAACAAGAGTTAAGAAACAAGTTTTTGTAGGTGTAAATTTCAACTTACTTGCCTGCCACACTTCTCTATTCCATGCCCCCAATTTACTTATGTTTCTCTACCTTACTCTCTTCTTGTGAAAACCAATATCAAAGAGAAGATTATGGGTTCTTTACCTCTTCTGGGCACAGCTCGTGGGTGCAGCTCATAAAGTGAGTGCAAAGCAGTGGGAATGCAATGGAGTATCTGGACTGAGAGGGCAGTTCCAAACACTGCTGAAACATCTTCTCAAAAGCACGGCTATAGAAACTATTCAGAAACACAGGTTAAGTTTTCATTCCACTGGGACAAAAAAATTACAAAACAACAACAACAAAAAACCATTTAACAGATGCAACTAAGCATATGAAAAATTTCAAATGCCAGCCATTTTATCCCGTGTCCACACAATCACTGAACTTGAGCAATTACATGCACTTGTACCAGATCCTAATAATAAAAGAGTTGCACTCATGGCACTTTACATTACCAAGGGAACTGAAAGCAGCGGGAAAAGAATGTATTATTAAAACCTCCCACTACATGTCCTGTAGCACAGCAAAATCAATGACTTGATGAGGGGGGGTGAAATTAATGGGGGATGCAAAGTGTTGGATTATGTTACCCCCAAGTTACCCTTAGGGGTAGTATAAGCTGCTTCTAAAATTTTCAAAAGGACTAGTAAGACCCAGCATAGGTTAGGATTACTCACTTCCACCCTCTACAGCATGTAGAACTTACTAACCAGGCAATCCTAAACACATCTACTCAGATGTCCCAACTGAGTTCCATTAAGCTTACTCCCACTGCATTTTAAACATTCATAGCACTTCATAATTTGCACCTTCCCTTCACAGAAATCCTAGAGATAGATATTTGTAATTTTCTTTTGTACAAAATATGCTATCTTGCTGCTACTGCAGAAGGAGACCCGAGAAATACAAGACAGTCTCCAGCTGACTGCACATTGACTCTTCCCCAAGAGCAAAAGAGACAAAAATCACAACCACGAGAAAGCTTTAGAATGAAATTAAACAACATACCAAAATATAGAAAGATCAGATGTTTCCACCAACATCTCCACCAAGGAATCTACCATTTTTGTGTGGAAAATGATTGTGTTCATCATCTTTCCAAGTTCTCTGTGGTCTGCGAGGCCAAGCGAAGCTTTAGATACACTAGTATAGGCCTGTTGGGACATAAAAAAGTAACAATTCACATTATCCAGGTTCTAATTCTCATCTAAAAATCTGCCTTCATTTGAATGCAAGCATTAGTTTTTTTAAAATGAGCAAAATCTACACACACACACACACACACACACACACACACACACAGTAGCACTGTAGCTTGCTCTAATTTGCTTGGGGCAAGTCAAGTTTATAATACAACCCATTCTAAGCTGCCTTACTCCTATATATCTACTTTTGGAACATGCTGAGGCTTTGCTCATTCTTGAAACTGGGACTTTAAAAAATGTGCAGATCCACAAAAGAGGTTATTTGAGGATTCACTAAGCAAGCCTTATTTTTCAGTTGCTTTACTTGTACTTAAGAGTCAAATTCATATTTATAGACAAAACCTGCTTATAATATTTGTTGAAGAAAAGGTAAATATTTTCATAGTGGCACCCTACTAGGACCAAAACAATATCAGGGCATAGTAATGCCATACTATTTTGCTACTGCTGCTTGAAAAGGGCTGGTTGTTCAAAAATTCCTCTTAGTTTGTAGCCAAAGATTTACTGGGCCCAATTTCAAAAAACAGAGCTTGAAGCATATACCATATTGTCTTATTTTTGGAAGGTGGGTTTTTTGTTTTTTGTTTTAAAAACAAACTTAAATCCAGCATTGCATAAAAAGGAATGTATGTTCTTCCAACTCTTGTTTGCCTTTACAACTTCTTTGAACAACTGAGGAAAACCAGGCCTTTTACATTATCTCCTAACCAACTTCTAAGAAAAATGACTGGCTTAGTGTCTGGCAATGTGACCTTTCTACAAAGGTTCTCTTTGAGTATGTGTAATAAAGTGTTGAAGAACAGACATAACCTTCTCAACTCTGATTTAGCCGTACAGCTTTGTTATTACAGACTTCTCTTCTATCCTTATCACTCTATTTCACGCTTCCTGAAACTGTTTGATGTAATTCTGTGCTCCTGCTTTGAACAATGGGAGTGTGTGTGAAAATGTCTGCTGAAGTTTATCCTAGGAAAAAGTTTTCAATTCAGATTAAATTTGTACATTGATATATGCTACTTCAGGTATTTCATGTGCCATTCTATTTTAAAAAGTAACAGCAGCATAGGGTTTTTTTTTGAATATTTCATCTCCTTTTCACAATGCCTGCCTTTTCTGAACAACACATATGAATTACCGTATTTTTCACCCCATTAGACGCACCGCCCCATAGGACGCACCTAGTTTTTATGGGGGGGAAATAAAGAAAAAAAAAATTATTTCCCCCCCAGGCACGGGGCTGGCGCGGGGGAAGCCCGGGCTTCCCCCGACCCCAGAACAGCCTGCTATCCGCAAGCCTAGGGAGACGCGCCCCAGGCTTCGGAATGCAGGCAGCTCTGTGCGATCCTTTGGAGCCCCGCGCAGCTTCGCGCCGGGCTCCGTAGGGTCGCGCAGAGCTGAGCGACCCCCGGGAGCGCAGGCAGCTCTGCGCGACTCTTCGGAGCCCGTGCGTCTTCAAGCCGGTCTCCCAAGGGTTGCGCAGAGCTGCCTGGAGAGCGAGAGGAGTCAGTGCCCACCGACCCCTCTCACTCTCCAGGCTTCAGCGAAAGCCTGCATTCGCCCCATAGGACGCACACACATTTCCCCTTCATTTTTGGAGGGGACAAAGTGCGTCCTATAGGGCGAAAAATACGGTAATCTATCCTTCTTTACAACTTTGCATCATTCATATTATGGGCAGTAGCAAAAGCAATGGTAGTCTACTACTGAATTTACTCAAAACTAGTCAGCCTACATATTTTTCTCCACCATGATCTTGGCTTTATCCTCCTTTTAGCTGTTTTGTTTGTTTGTTTGTTTATGAAAAACACCCTGCTCATACTGTGAACCATTCCCTTCCTGAATGCCTGTTTGGGAATACATGAATTTCAAAATGTGAACTCAAATATTTAAATCAATTATTTTAAATCACTTTGATTTAAAACTGATCTACTCTTTAACACAGGGAAAGCAATATTGCTTTGAAGAGTGCACAAAAGTAATTCTTACCTGTAATCTAAACCAATCGAGCCTCATTCCTCTGAAGTCAAATACCTCCCCATCTTCAACTGCAACATGTGGAAAAACAAAATATGAAAAAAAAATTGGACAAATGTTTCACCCACTTAATACACATATTTAAAGTCAACAAAAAATGGAGGGGTGGGGAGAGCTGGCATGTGTATCTTATTTACAGAGCAGTCTTATGTGTATTTACTCAGAAGACAGACCCACGCTTTTTAGTATAATTTATTCCCAAGGTAAGCATGTGTAGGATTACGGTCTCAAAAGTATACATGCCTTACAGTCCAGTCCATTCTGAACTTAATGGGATTAACTCCCATGCAAGTATATATAGGATTGCAACCTTAGTTTTTCACAAGCCAATGGATAGCAAATGTAGGGTTTCCAAAGGTCATCAGAAGAAGGCAGCAATTCACAATGCTTGTATGCTCCTCTCATGAACATGGCAGTGTCCTCTATATGCAGAAATGCACAGAGGATCTGAATGTTACATATCTATCCACAATATGTACAGGAATTAGTACTCTCTAAGGCAGCAGATTGTCTTGGACTGTAAGTTCCACCTTCCGTGCTATTGCCCAAGCTGTAGGGAGGTGCTGAGAGTTGACCCAACAAAATCTGCAGGTCCTTCATGTTACCCACTTAAGACACACTATTCCCAATTTTGCTATGGCAGACATAGTTTAAGTTCATGGCTTACATATCCATAACTTACCTTGCTTCACACTTAAGGAGGTCATGGTGTTTACAAAAGAGGACATAATGATGGACTCATCTTCAGGGCATACTGAAAGATTCTAAAAAATCAGAAACCAGGACGCTACTGTTATTTTGCCAGCTACACAATTATCACTGCATCACAATAAAGTGGAGAACACATCAACGGATATGTGGCTGGCAGGAAACTTCTGTGCAGCTCCATCTGGACCTCAGCCTGGTGCTTGTCTGTGTATGAGATCACAGGTTATGGTATGAAGGCACATGAGGCCACCACTTAAGTAGGTCTGGGCCTTATCGCTGCCTGAATAGCACACAGGCTCCACAATGAAAGAAACGTGGGATATAAATATAAGGACATAAATTTAAAAAGTAGCGGGATAAATAGTGAGTGGTGCCAGTGGAGCACATGTAGGACTAAGATGCACATAGTTTATGTATGAGAGAGTACTGAATGTGAAGTACATGAGAAGAAGGGCAGCTGTATACAGAGAGCCTGCTTTCTCTCCCTGCACCACCTCAAAATCACCCCACAAACTTTCAGACTTCCACTTGGGCAATTGAAGTATGGAAACTGTTTTTCTGACATAGGGTTGCGAAGTGGGGTTAGCATTATTTCACGGGTGCCAACGTCAATTAATCCACCTAATGTCACTTAATCCACTAAGCCTATAATGCTTGTTATTTGTTTCTCAATATAGGGAATCAAGAATTTAGCACATTTTTAGCAGTAGTCCAAAATAATGGAAGATACGAGCGCTGTATAATAGGAGCCTGAATATTTATTTGTGAAAGCAAGACCATTTTAAAGAGTTCCCCTGCCCATTCAGATGTAATAAACAAATGCTATAATGTACACAATTAAAGGGGCTGAGAACTACAGAGAAGAGACACTGGTTGCTGATTGACTCCATTTTGTTTTCAAACAGCCTTCCCTCATTACAATGTCATCTTAACTACATGCTATTGAAAATTAACAAAAAGATTATTTCCTCCCCAATACAAGCAGCTTTATCCCTACAGGATGACTACTAGTTTAAATGTTGAACATCTACGCGGATGTGTTGTATAGTATAAAATCTGAGCTCCATCTAGTGGGCAATGAAAAAGTAAAATAGTCATTTTTCAGTGATTGATAGTAACTATGTATCTGTGATTGACTGGTGTCTGTACAAAATATGTAGGTTCTATGGAACCTGTATATCCTGTTTTAGTCTTCGGGTTGCCTAACAGAAGTTCACACCTTACAGGATACTTTAAAGGGTATTTTAACTTCTTAGCATTTCTTCACTCAGGATGAAAATCAACAAGTCAGTACTTAATTCAGTACTTGTAACCTTTTTATAGCAATATCCTCACCACTTACCTGCACAAGTTCATTTAAGACAACCGCATCAAAGCCCGATAGGTACTGCACATAGTATCTTTGCATAACTGGGCCATATTTTCGTACATGTGCCCTGAGCTCTTCCATGTAGAAAATCAGCTCTGCTATGTGCCTTAGGAACGAAAGAGAAACAAAGAATATTGACTAATGTAAGCATGTGTGAAAAATGTCAAGTGGTGTGAAATTCTCATTTTATTGGTCCTTAAATCATGGTTATTTGCTACTTAAGTATACCCAAGTTTTCGGTGAGATAGAGAGAACGCTAGCAGGGAAACTACACGTGGAAGGCCATAATTAAGTAAATAAACACATTCGCTTTATTACTGAAAAAGCTCTCTAGCTTTGCCCCAGTGAGCCCACATAATTAAGGAAAACAGCTATTAAAAGATATATTTGGAAGAAAGGGGGGGGGCGAAGCGGTGGAATTAAGAAAACAAAAAGGGATGGTTTTGCTGACATCACCACTCTTGTTTTCAAGCCCAGTGGGAAGCTACTTGCAGAAAATGTTAAGGGCTGGGTCACAACATGCTTTGAAGTTCAAAAGAAACACTTTTGAAAACAACCTATGGGACAAATGTTCCTGTTGATCCTCTAGAACTGACAATCAATAAAAGTGCACGGCACACATCCTCTTACATTGCTCTGATTAGAAAAGTATGTGTTGTTTTGGGGAGCAGATTGCTGGGTGCTGAACAGCCACAAGAGAAGGCAACACTCCTCCAGGATCCTGGAGTACTATCACCAAACTGATCTTGAAGGTATTATCTTAGCAGACCAAGCTTGGGCAACTATTAAAGGCCTGCCACTACTCGTTTATTTTGTTGTGATATCAGGATTTTCTACATTTTGTAAACGTAAATCAGTTATGGAACTTTATGTATGTGAAGAACCACATGCTGATTGGGAAAAAAAGGCATTCAACTATTTGTTAATATATAAAAGTGAAGTTTCAATACAGACACAATTTGCAAAGACAGAAAAATGAATCTAGATTCAGGTAAGTATCTGAAGAAGTGTGCATGCACACGAAAGCTTATACCCAGAACAAACTTAGTTGGTCTCTAATGTGCTACTGGACAATTTTTTTATTTATTTAGAAAAAGTGACTGTACAACTTGCTTCATATTTACACCAGGAAACTACCCCCCAATTATTGGATGTACTTTGGGGAGTCACAAGACTCTGCTGCTTTTGCTGAAACAGACTAAGAGTTATCCCTTTGGAAATGGTTACAATCTAGACTAGAGAGTTATGCAACTAACTGTTGCACGCTCAGCACAGCTTTTGTTTGTGATCTGAACACACAAACACACAGGAATGATAAGCTGCTTTTAAGACTTAGCCTGCACTCCTATACACACATTTCTGAGAGTGAATACCACTGAATTAAATGGGGCTTACTTTTAAGTAGACATGTATAGGACTGCACTTTTAATGTCATTTCAAGGCAAGCCTACAATGTAGCAACAGGCGTGTGAAGAATCAAAGAAAATGTTTGAAATCTTTTTAGGGAAGCTTCTACGTAAGCTCTCTGGACTAAGGCCAATGTGGCATTTTTCATCACTACCCTGCCCAATGCATGCTGACTGTTTAAAGGAGCTGAGTATGGGGACGTGGCTAGATAGACACGAGACCTTTGCTATATGAATTCCAGCACATTATTCTGAACTGAATGGCTTTGCATTCATTACACTCACAAATGTATCTTAATGAAATTTTGTTTTCAAATCCCACAGCAGCGAAAGGAAACATTATTTTAACATATCTAGGAATAACAGTGATCAACCAAGTCAAGGAAAGAGCCTCCATATATCAATGCAATCAAGACCACAATATGCCTGAAGAATAAGAAGAAAAACAAGTAGTAGTACACTATACCAAAGTGCTTTGGCAACAGCGGGTTCCATATCATGCAAGAAATCTGAATTTTAAAATATACCAGATATGAAACGTACTTATCTATGAAATCATCTGCACTCTTCTTTGGCATGTTATCTGCATGTCGTAGAAGCCAAATAATTTCATCACGAGCAAACGATAATGCCATAAAGACGAAAAGTGCCTGGAAAAAACCAAACACACATTAAAATGTTTCCCTTTGCAGATATTATAAGTGAATGTACAGCAAATGGAAATGAACTTTGTGGATTGTGCCCGTAAATAATTTCCCTCCTACTTACTAAGCTTACTTACCTTGGGACCCAACAGTCCTGGCTGATCTGACAGGACAGTAGCTAGTTCTTTCAGTGCAGACCGTAAAAATTTGCGTCTTTCTCTGTGCATTGAACCGCTGTTTTCAGAATACAAATACTGCAATTAATCACCAATATACTATATTTCACAAATCATTTCAAGTTGTGCTTAGGGTCCATGGCAGTCCATTCTCAATTAAAAATGGTGTTTAAAAACTACCTCTCATACTGCTCCTTAACATCAAGTTTTAATACATTTGTGAGGCCATTACATTTTCATGTTACCAGTGGAAATAAAGATTTAAAGAAAACAGTTATGTAAAATCTGTTTTTGACAGTTTTTTTATATTGGCTGGAACATTGCCTCTGACTTTTATGTAATGTATGCAGCAAGCTGGTCTGAGAAAAGAGGTGGGAAGCATGTGGCTCTCCTGATTTTTTTGGGACTCCAGCTCTTAGCAGCCCCAGACAGCATGACCCCCAGTCATGGATAATGGGAGTTGTAGTCCAGTAATACCTGGATGGTCACATATTTGCCACCCCTGTACTAAATAATAATATCCAAGATCAGACCAATCATGCTTCAAGAGCTCAGTTGGTTAGAAGGTGGTGCTGATAACACCAAGGTTGCAGGTTCGATCCCTGTATTGGACAACTGCATTGCAGGGGGTTGGATTTGATTATCCTTAGGGTCCCTTCCAGCTATACAACTCTATGTAAGGCAAAGGTGGGAAATGATTTTCATCCCAGGGTTGAATTATCTTCTGGGCAATCTTCCATGAGCCACACGCTCATAGTGGATGGGGCCAGAGGTCAAAGCGGGCAGAGTACTTAATATGAATTTTTCCATTGTACAGTAAGCTACACAGAGCAACCACTCTGCCCTCCATCCAAGCAGCATTACCAGAGTTCAAGGACATGTTCCAGTCAGGCAAGAAGAGTGCAAAGCAGAACTGCAAGGGATGTGGCATTGGGGGGGGGGGGACCTTGAGAGAGTCCAAAGGGCCAGATAGGGGTCTGGAGAGACACATTTGGCCCCTGGCCCTGAAGTTCTCAACGTAAGGGAACACAGAGTGGAATTTATTGTATAAAATATAGGCTTGGATTGAAAAATGCAGCTGGTGAACAGGAAGCAAAACCAGCTACAAAGAGATGGACCTTCCAAGTATGTAGGAGCAGCAGATGAGGAAAGAGAAACTGGCAACTCTCTACCCAAAACAAGCAGGAGATTTTTCTGTTTGCCATGAGGTACTTTTAAGCAACTATCTTTCAGCATTGCTGACAGAGTTGTATAATTTGGCTAAATACTAAAACACATAATTAGTAGTATTTTATAAAAACATATTTTACAGTACACTTACGCATGTGATACAGCAGCTTCCTTGCACTCTCGTATGTCGTTAATACGTTTGTTATAGCTGCAAGTGTAAACAAAATGTATAAACATATTGGGGATAAAGACTTCCCATTTCTCTACAATTGCATCAGAAAGAGCAACTTTCCTTTAACTAACCAGTTCCTGGAAAAAGGCTTCCCAACGGGTCAGTTAAGGTCCTGTATTTAGATCAAATGCCATCTCAGACTAATGAATAAGTGAATGTGTGGCTTCAATTTCTGAACAAAGTTGAAAGGCATGCAACCAAAAGCAAAGTTTAAATTTAAAGCAGCTCCAAGAATTAGGTGTAAAAAACCCCAATTCAAGCACAATGAAGAACCTGGGTAAAGGAAAGTATTTTATGTGGGGTATTTTATGTGGAGGAAAGTAAAAGGAGGGAAAGCATATGCAAGATGCGGCTGCTTTCTCAATTTCAACCCTAGATATCACTGATTTCCACAAGACTTCTCTTGTTCATCTATCTCTCATTTGCCACTATATGCATATATATAGCGAATGCAATAAAATCTAATCTATATCTGTATTTCAAAAACCGTACCCTCTTATGTTTACAAACAAGTCTTCTGCAGCTTTGTGAATATGGAAAACTTCATCCCGAAACAGAGCCAAGCAAGAACTGCTTTGAAGAGCAAGCTTCCAAAGGGTCAAAGCAGTTGCATCACTGTTCAGGACTCCATGGCACAAAATAAACCCAACTTTGAAAAGAGAAAGAGAAATCAGCATTATGTAAAACTCATGGTGACAAATTCAAACTGTTGTCTGTACCACCAGTGGTCCACAAGCTTCATTAAGGTGGTCTGCAGCATTCAGTGGATTTGTAGTTGAAGATAGATGACACATCCCATTGTATTAAATATTCATATTGATTTTTAATGGTTTTAATTCTTTGTCCTATTTCTTATATTGCATTTAACTGTATAGGAGTCTCCCCACTTGAATGCAATCAGCATGTGCACTCCCGCTGACACACACGCCAGAAACGGTGCAAAAAGGGGGAGGAACAGGTCCAGAAATGAAACAGGATAATCCTCACTTACGCACATCCTGGTGATGTGCACGGCTGGCCCAAAATAGAACCCCCATGTAAGTGGGGATTCCCCTGTACTACAATTCCATGGAATGCAATAAAATCTAATGTAAGAAGAAATAAGCAGCACTAAAAACACAATTAAAAATCATACAGCATCTAGCATAGTGCATTACAATTACTATAACAAGCTGAAAAATCATTAAGTGCTCCACTAAGATCCTCAGCAATTTTCAAGGGGTCCATGGTGGGGGGGTTTGGGAACCACCATTTTATAGGAACATGGGAAGCTTATAATGAGTTAAACCATTGGTCCATCTAGCCCAACAAGGTGACTGGCAGGAGACAGAAAGGAGCTTCTGCATGCAAGTGAGATTGCTCTGTCACATGTGTGGTCTTCCCCATAGATTTATTTTACTGCAACTAACAGGTAAATCCTCAACCTACTTGTCATTCAACAGTCAATGGACTGTAGTCAGCTAAACAGTTCCATTAGGACAAGAGCTTTTGGCTGCGCAGCGGAATTTCCCTGCCCTCTCCTTTCCCACTATCTGAATCTTCTCCAGAGGGTGGGGGGTGGGGGAACCCAGAATATATTAGGAAGGGGACACATGAGGGATGTATGAGTAAAGGAAGCTCCATTGTGTGGCCAAAAGTGCTTGTGCCAGTGGAAATGTTTGGATGCTGCCCAAGTATCCTAACGTAAGTCCAAAGCTCACAATAATCAATTTAGGAATAAAGGCTTAATATAGAAAATGCACAGTAGAAAGAAATGCTGATAAATCTGATTATAAATTTGCAACATCAACATGGGAAGCAATTTTTGAAAGAGAGGCTCAGGATACGATAGCAAAACAATGTTTGTGCATTTTACCCATAAATAGTATATCCTTTTTCTAGCATATCATCTGCATTTATTCATGCTGCAAAATGAAATTCTACAGCATGTATAAGTACTCTTGAACAGGCCAAATACAGTAACAAAACAGCCAATGGTGTCAACTTGCACAAAGAACTTTATCACATGCAAAGGAGTCTTTCTCTTCTCCACCCTGCAGCTCCTGCTCCCACCCTTCAAAAACTCCTCTGGAGATTTAGGAGAACTTGTCAGAACATATTTGATGGGTGGGAAAAGAGAAGGGACAAGTCCAATTGCATCTGCTGATGTGATGTTTGATCTCACCCATAGGACACAATCCAGCCAAAGTTAAGCAGTTTAAAGTTCTATTACTTCCCCGTTGATACCAATGGAATTAGAACTGCTTAGCTCTGGAACATGCTTACAAAATTCCAATACCTCAGAACTTAGAGCTTACACAATTGTAACATTGCCTTTTATTAATGGGATAATGAGATCAGAATAGCCTCAGCCTAGCTCCCGTATATGAGCTCCCTGCACACTCCCGCCCAGTGTCTTCACTAAGCTAATAGATAAGTCAATACCAATGCTAGCCATGGTTATTGCTAAGCACAGTTTGTTTTAAAACCGGGTTTGAAAATTGTTAAAGAATCCTGATAAAGACCAAACCTTGGTTACAATTATGTTGGTTAGCAATAGTTTAAGCTACGAGTGCATTTTGCACATATGAAGACTGGGTCTTGGGAGACAGAATGAATGCTCCTGCTCCCTTAACCATGGCTAAGAGGTGGGCACTGTTACATCTGAACTGACCTCGTGGCTCCATTATACATGACAACAGCTGTAAAGAAACAGGAAGCACTTCAGTAGAACATGAAACTTACATATGATCCACTTCTCCATTGTATCCAGAGACAGGTATTCGCATGGCATCTGTTTGTAAAAACAAGCTGTCATCAGAAAATGACACATTGCAATCTAGTTAATACATGAGCTCTGGGTACAATATTTTAAACAAGGCTGATGAAATAATAACAGCTCTCTAAGTGAAATCATTTCTTTAGGGAAGGGCTGCTTCAGGGTTACAAAAGGGTTTAAAGTACACTTTCAGGGCTTCTCCATGTTTGCTCTAAACCAACTCTTCCTGATCCTTTGTGTGGGCACACCCTGGAAAGGCACGGTCCATATGCTGGGCACAGTTCTAACTCTAGGAGCTTATGGTACATCTTTTTGGTTCCAGGAACAAATGGACAATCTATGCTATGACCTAGCAGCCTGATGAGGCACACAGATCAAAATGACCTTAAATGATCTGAGATCCACTTGTTACTCACTCTGGCTTAGAGGCAGTGGGAAGACAGCTGGAGGACAGGTAGAGTAAAACTCATGGGAAGGTTATTCAAACACTAGCAAGAGACTATTATTGGGCCTACTCTGTGGTGAAGCAACTATTCTTCTGCATCTTCTCAGTGTCATTCAGCAGAGCTTTGGAAATCTGGCCCAGGGGCAGATGCAACAGAACCTTTGGTATAATGCTGCAACACATTTGCAAGACACTTTGAGGACAAAGTTGCCCATATCCATTATGACTTATGACTCCACTTCTTGTCCTGTCACCTTCCACACGTCCCTCAGAGAAGGCAAATGAAGAAGGGTCTCTGATGGTGAATGAAGTTCAGGTAGGTTCATATGAGCAGAGGTAACCCCTGAGGTATTGGGGTCCTGAGCTGCATAAGGTTTTATAAATCAAAAACATAACTCTGAATTGAGTTTGGAAAATAATTGTAACTGGCACAGTTGTGACAGAATTAGTGCTAGACACTCAGATCAGAGTCAGAAATCTGGCTGCCAAATTCAGGGCTAGCTGCAGTTTCTAAACCATCATCAGCTGCCCCACATATAACACACATGGCAGTAATTAATCTAAAGGTTACTAGAGTGCAAACAGCAAAAGTTAGGGCCATATCTGGGCCACCAGCTGATGCTGATGGAAGGCACTGTGTGCCATTGAGGCCACTTGTGCCTTGAGTAACAGTAGATCCAGAAGTACCCCCAAAATGCACACTTGTTCCTTTGGGGGGAGTCTTGCCTCATTATAAACACACACACACACACACACACACAGAGAGAGAGAGAGAGAGAGAGAGAGAGAGAGAGAGACAGAGAGAGAGAGAGAGAGAGAGAGAGAGAGAGAGAGAATGAATAACCTGAGCTGGGAATTTTCAAAAGCAAACCTCACAAACTTTAAGTTCCACAGAATTGAATTGAATCAAAGTAAAGTATCATACTGTGTCTGACTGTGCAGGATTAAGCATTGTGCTGGGAGCGCTGATGAGGCTCAAGAGTTGTGCGTTTCGCCATTGGTCAGCTGAGAGGTTTCGTCGAGGATAGACCATCTGGAGTGAGATTAGGGCATCTGAAAGAGCCTAGAACACAGTAAATACAAACATATTGTTTTGAACGATTAGCAGTTAAGTACAATAAATACAATTTAATGTTCTTCTAATCTATTCCATTATTACAGTACTCTCAAGCATCTAATGGTCATGTATTTCATGTCTATCCAATGCTGTATGAGACAAATGCTGGGACTTGATATATTTTTTCCTTGCCTCACATACTTGCAACCTTTGCCAAAGGATTTTAAAATTTAAAGTATTATTTTAAAGTGCAAATTGTAAGTTCTTAAATAACTAGGTTGATATTAGAGAATTTGGATATAAGCATGTTATCCCTACAGTAAATTTCTACGCCGAACCAATGTATCCACCAGACAGAAAAGCCTCCTTTAGCTAAATATATGTAAATGAAGAACCCATTTGATCATTTCTCAAAGACTCGAAGCTTGCTTCAAACTGTCATGGGCATGGCATATCTTATTTCCTACTCTGCTTTTTTTGCAAGGATGGGGATAGTCATGACAGAGTAGGACAGAAAGGAGCAACACTGGGAAGAAGTGAAGATAACAGACCTCAGGATTTTGTGGAGAATGTACATGGGCTAAAAGTGGGAACTTTATATGCACGGTCCCCTTTTCAGGTGTTCTAATTCTGAGAGGGCCTGAAGGGGAATTCTAAGTGCATTCACCTGAATGTGCTTAGAATCCCCCTTCAGACCTTCTTTCTAAATATGGGAAGGTTTGAAATAGTATCGGTGTGCAGGGAAACACTGCAGCAGGGATTGTGCATGCACACCCCCAACTTGACCTTTTCAGGGCCACACTTGTGTCTGAAGAGGTGGTTTGGTGTGCTGGTACCTTATCCCCACACTTAAGCCTGCAATCCTATGTTCACTTTCCTGGGAATAAGCCCCAATGGATTCAGTGGAACTTTCCTCTTCTAAGCAGACATCTTCAGAATTGCCATTAACCTCACAAACTATCATGGGTTTGGGTTGTAAAAAGGACCCTATATGGAAATATCCTGAAGACTTTTCCATTATATTGCTAAATGAACTATTTAATTCTTTTAAATGCACACAGAAAGAGGGGAAAGCTTGACAATTTTATTAAAAACTGCTTATCCTCAATTTTCTATTTTTTTTTTAAAAAAACTTATACACATTTATTTTCAGAAAAAAGGGGGGAGAGACAGTCAGACGAATGGTCAGAAAGAGGAAAAAGGCTTATACACACTTTACTATGTGGTACAAATTCCTCCATCATCTTCTTCAGAGGGTTCTCATAATCCACAATCATCTGGCCAAGACGTGGGTATTCCCTATCACTAAAAAAAGCAACAAACGAGATTAAGGAAAATGCATTGTATAACATGCTCCCAATCCTCACAAAAAAGGCATTCAGTGTGCAATGCATTTTTACCTTGCTCCATGTGTCATCTCATGAGCATAGTTGTACAACCCTATGATGGCCTTCCGCTCTTCAATCCGAGACAGCAATATCATTAGTGTTGTGTAGGTTATGATTAAATCTAGGTAGTTCTTTGTTAAATCAAAATTTACAGTCTAGAAATGAAATACAAAAAAGGTTTTGTATTGTAACAGATTACTCATATCATCGTCAAGTTCTAATCCTTCATACATTTCATATGCATTTGAAAAGTCTCACACAACTTAAAATTAGCACCTATTAGCACCTATTAAATGTAGAGAAGCACCTCAAATATATTATCTTTCTTTACTGTATTTACTGTAGAACATTCTAAACACTAAAATGTGTAATAGGTTAGCACAACTCAATGGACTCACTCTTAGAGGACTCCAGGCTGAATGGCCTTTTCAGATATTTCCAAGAATTATGTTAGAAAGCAGTGCATACACAAAGGACCAAAACTCCCAGTCAAAACTAATACATTGGAAGTGAGCTACGGCATCATTTGACCATTTTCCACCTTTACTGCAATTAGAGGAATAGGTCAAGACCAATGTTTAAACAGCCACTTCAACTCCCAGTCCATTTCCAGGCACAATTCTTAGTATTTGTATTGATTTATAAAGGCCTAAACTATTTAGGACTCAGGTCATTTTATCTCAGCTGCGCAGTGTAATCCTATGCATGTTTACTTGGAAGTAATTTCCCAATGTGTTCACTTGCGCTCGCTCTCTAGTAAATGTATTAAGAATTGCAGTTCAATTGACTTTTTAAAAACTTTCATGGACTTACAATATCAAAGAAGACTTGGCAAACATCAATAGTGTTCAGCAATTCACAGACATGGTCCTTGAAAACAAAAAGAGAATGGAAAAATCTGATTGCATACTGAAATTATTACTGGACATTTTTTCCTGAATTTGGAAAAAAAACCAAAAACACACCCTCAGCCAATAACAGCAATACATTTTTTAAAAAACAATTTTTAAAATATCCATTACTTTAACATAGAAAGCACTTTTAAAAAAGCAATTCATAATAAATTATTTAATCTGCACTCAATGGTTGTGAAATTCTATCAAGGCCTGCAAGAGCAGCTGAACTGTCCTTCAGGTGCCTTACCTTAAATTCCATAACATCAACAAACGTGAAGTAATATAAAGCCAGATTCTTCAGAATCTCTGATTTCTCTTTCTGCAGCTGAGCAAGCTGTTGCTACAAATCAAACACACACACATATAAACTAAACAGTTCTTGGAAATAAATGCATAATTTTAAGAAAGCCAAGGAATCATACTTGCAAGAAGCAGGTACACAATTTTTTACAGTGATCAAATGTTTAGTGCATTTCTCCATGGTTGTGATTTTAATATATGAACAAACTATGGGGCACAATTCCTCCTGCCTTAAGCTCAATAAGTCACTCTCCCTCCCATTGATGTAAGCATCTACCATTCTGCTGGCAATTGTCAAGAAAACAGGAAGCCAGTGCACTGCTTCCCCTTCCTGACCTCTGTCCAAGCCAGACTCTGACCTGGAGAGGGAGGGCTAGATGGGCAAGTAGCAAACAAGCTAGCTTCCCATTCCAGGAACTGGCAGCACACTGCTGCACATGCATACCTCGCTATCCACATGGGCCAAGGGGCAGAAGGTAGAAGCAAGGATACACCTTTGGGCTATATGCAATCCTTCCAAGCATGTTAAGAAAGTGATGGTGCCCACATTCTGCAACTAAACGCTTCTTTTAATAAGCGCCAACTACCAGCTAATTAGTACACATTAGTACCAAAATTATTAACTATAACTACTAGAGATTAGAGAGTGTTAAAAAGGAATTGGTTATACGAGTAATTAGCCAAAGCAAAACCATTTATGAGCACAAATCAGCATGAAAAAAATAAGGACAGATTTCTTGAGGTGGGAAAAGAGGTGACAGCAGAGTTTACAGATTTTACTACAGAGAAAACAATACGCTTTAAATTCAGAACTTACCAAAAAGAATATCCAGGCAAAGCCACGTTAAGCATGCAAAATAAAATGTAGATACAAACATAAAATACAGTCACGGTTCTTTAAGCAGTCCCATATAACACAATATACATTAAAACACAAGCAACAAAAGAAACAAAGATGAAAAAGAAGCAAGAGGATAGCGTGTTAGACACTGGTGAGGAAATGGAAGAGAGACTATGAATACAAGGATATTCAGTAGTTGTAAAAGTAGATTTTCACACAGTATTTTTCAGCAGTGCTCAAATGTGTTATTCCTGCAGGATACAAACTAATCAGTAGAAAGGGAAAGAATAAAGTTACACAAAAGACTAGGGAAGAATTAGAACATCTTTCAGCTTCCTATATTAATTTTTAAAAAAATAATTTCATGCCCTTCAAATGTATAAAGAGCATTTAAAAAACACACATCTATGCCACACTGTTGTGAGCATGAACTAGATAGACAATGTCTTCCACAAAGTTACACAGGGATTTTCCCTGATATTTTCATTGATAAATATCACACTTTAAAATTACATTCTTCCATTTGACATTAATAGAGGGAAAAAACTTTTACCCAAATTCAATTTTCATTATACAGATATGGATCACAAAAATGGAAAGCATTCCCTGTTTCATAAAAAAGCTGGTTCTCACAGTCAACAGAACTATGAAATTGAAGGTTGGCATCTCATGACTCCTGGCTACTGTAAAAATGAAAAATCCTGCCCACTCTAGTTTTTTGTGTATCTACATCAGTGTTGCCATCCATTTCTACTTTGTCTTTACATAGACATCATATATCCATGACAAAGCAATAAGAACATTTCCAGTACAAAATAGACTGGAGTCTAATGGAGCTGGCAGGCAGCATATTTATGTAAAATAAAATTTACATATTTTGCATGTAAAAGAACGTTCAGCATAATCTATGTTTAAATAGTATGTAGAGCCAATTAGACTTCAGTGTATTTTGTACAGTGGTACCTCGGGTTAAGTACTTAATTCGTTCCGGAGGTCCATACTTAACCTGAAACTGTTCTTAACCTGAAGCACCACTTTAGCTAATGGGGCCTCCTGCTGCTGCCGTGTCGCCAGAGCACAATTTCTGTTCTCATCCTGAAGCAAAGTTCTTAATCTGAAGCAATATTTCTGGGTTAGCGGAATCTGTAACCTGAAGCGTATGTAACCCGAGGTACCACTGCACTGGAAATGCTGTCATTGCTCATGTCTGGGTCTATGTAAGGAAGAAATGCATGACCAGTTCAACTACTGTGATACCATAGAATAATCAAAATATTAAAAGAGGGTGGCATCAGCAACAGAATCTTGATAAAAGTTTGCCTTTTGAGAAAAATGAAAGGTAAATATTGCGGGCCCAAATTCAGGAGGGTCTATATGGTTCTCCAACTCATGAACACATAAAAAGTCTAATATGATTAAAGGCCTTTCCACAATCACCTTCTTTCATATGCATCTAGCTAAATAACTCTCCCTTGACATATATATCACTTATATCTCAATCATACACACACATTCTGCAATTGGATAACATCATACGACATCATACTGGCTAGACATAAATAAGAAGGGGGGGGGGGAATCAAGGAAAAGACACTGAAAGACCACACTGAGCATTATACAGCATAATACAGTAGGGTAACCACATTAAAATGTACACACTTTTAGACTGGTAATGAAACAAAGAGCAGTTAAGTGTATCAATGTACATTATTCAATCTTATGGCTATATCCTTATATGTTATAGTAGAATATTTATACAGAAAAGTATCAAAAATTGAGGTTGTTTTCTGAAAATATTTATCACTTAGTGAAGAAATATTTATTTCACCAAAGCTATCAAACCACTCAGCCTTTTACCAGTTTTAAATGTTTTATGCTTTTTATGTTTTCTGTAGTCAAAAAGCAAGACTGGTAATTAATTCAACTTTAAACAGTATTTATTTATACCTTTCCCGAATTAGTGTTACTGATGCTAGTCATTACACGCCTTCAGAAAGGGGGCTGATGAACCACATCTCAGACTACCTGTAACGATTTTTTTCAGGAAATTTTATCCAATTAGATTTATAAACTACGCCAGCCCACCTGCAACACATGCCAAGATTCAAAGAACCACAAAACCAGTCCTGTGATCCCAAGAGAGCTTTAGACTCACACACACCCCTTTTCTTTTTAACCTCTCTGGCCTCCCAAACACTGCATGACACACTGCTTTTGAAAGGGAGGAGGACTTCAATAGTAGCTTTTTTTGGGGGGGGGGGGGAATTAGCTGGAAATTCAAGTGCAACAGGAATTTCACTTACCACATGTGTGATGACAGGTATGAGTCATCCCACCAATGCTAGAGCTACAGAGGTGTGTGATCACTTGGCAGTTGAATGATGACCACCTTTTCCCCAACATTAGGAGAAAAACTTGCAACTGGTTGGCTGCTGAACTGCTACGGAGCCTGGAGCATCCCACCAGCATCTCCGCTCCCACTTTTCCAACTGCAAGTTTGAAACAGGGCTGGGGTCTGTCCCTAGCCTTATACATCAGACAGATAGCATACCAGAAGTGAGCGTGTGAACGTTACATGTACAGTGGACTCGGCCTACTGTACATATAACCTATAACCTAGGACTGTATGTGAACAGAACAAGCCACAAGTCCTCAGGAACAAAGGTTAATACAAATTATTGTAATTAGTATAATTCACCCTGTTCTTTTTTTTACAGTTCTAATACAATCAGATATCTGACTACTATTCTGTTACCATTGCTGAGAACCAGCTGCTTTTGGTCCACTGTCAACTGGTGGTAGCCATTCTCTCAGGCTACGTGAACTATTTCCATTTTAGCTGGTTCTACAATACAGCTGACTATAACTTTAAAAAATGTTGCCCGAGTTTGTTTTTTTCCTCCTCCTTCCCCATCCCTTTTTCACTGAGTGTTATATCTTTCATATTGTAAGCCTGAGGGCAGGGATTCTCTTACTACTAATCATTGTAAGCCCCTCAGAGAGCTTTTCCAGTTAAAGTACAGGGCAAAATTGCTTTAAAGAAGCAAGCAAGTAAAAAGTGGGCAATATTCAATGGGTTGTTTGGTTATTTTCTATCCCTATCTAAAATTCCACTGGGCTTTGTGATTCAACACATCTTTTTGGTCTCAGCACCGAGCTGGGGTGTATGTGTTGAGGGTCAAGGCGGATTAGTCAGTCTACATGTGGGATTTCAGATAGATTTCTAAAAATTGCCTAAGTAGGCTAGTTGTCCAATATTCCATCAAATAATATCAGTATTGTTCTGCAAGTTACGCTGCCAGAAAAAATGCAAATGTTTTAAATTATTCATTCAAGATCTTGTCTACAGGATTTCAACCTAATATTAAAATAAAGCTTAGATCTTTAGTGTTACAGCAAGTATTCCAGAATGGCTCATTTGCATGCTTAGCCTGAGGGCTTCTCTTTAAATACAGATATAAACCCTATTAAAGTACCATCTCAGCTTGCTCCTAGTTAAACAGCAACTGATTGTTTAAAATTATTTAACACAATCCTGCAAGAGAGAGTTCAAAAAGGGGAAGATTTCAGCGGTTTTGCTTTTAAGAGAGCTGGAGTACAGAAAGTATCAGGAACCTAAAACAGCTCAATAAAAGAAACTGAGAAAATCAGAATGGGGGGAAGTGTACCTCAACTCTTTACATCACCACAGGTTTTAGCCTTTCAATTTTCTTATATATAAGACAGATGGCACACCAGAAATATGAACAACCCCCAATGTAAATATTACAATCGCACACTTACTACAGTTTGATTCCAGGATATCCTAGAGCAGAGCTTTTCAACCCCTTTGAGTCCACGGCTCCCTTGATCACCTACATTCTTTCCGCAGCATCCCTGTGGGGCTTTGGAACCCAGTTATGTCACCCCTTGCCTGCAGAGCTGGCAGCCCGTCACTCCTTTTCAAACACCCTTCCTTGTGGAGTGTTCCCTCAGCCTCCTCTCCTATCCCCTCTCCTTGGGAGTGCTTCAAGCAGCTGTCACCACTGACCCCAGTCTCTGAACCACCCGCCCCGGAGAGAGCTGTCTCCTCAGGGGCCTGGGAAGAGGATGCTTTGATGGCCTGACAGAGACTGGCCAAAGGTGAACATGAGGCCAGAACTACACCTTGGGAGGCAGCAGTGACAGCAGCGGGTGCTGCCAGGCCTGCATGGTGGAAAAGCTCCCCTTCAGCACTGGGTACTTAGCTTCCAGGCAGGCCTTGCACACAGCAAGCACATGAAAGGCCAGCGCAGCATCTGCCTGCCAATCCTCCCACTTGTCTGTTCATTCCCAACAGCAAGGTCTGGTGGACTGGCTGGCTGGCCTCCCTCGCCTGCTTGCTTGCTTACTCTAAGGCTCGCTGAGCTCATGGTAACCAGTATCCCCTGGCCCACCCCAGAGACAGCATTCGCCTGGGGAGCTTGTAGGCAGGGCTGCTGCAACAAACAGTTGTGCAAGCCTTTGGGAAGCAGAGACATGAGAGGGCATCAGAGGGAGGGAGGGAAGGAAGGAGGCCAGTGTTGCCTGTGGCACTCCTGACCATCATTCAGGGCACCCCAGGGTGCCACAGCACACTAGTTGAAAACCAGTCCTAGAGCGTAAGAACTCTGGATGAACTGCTTATTCCCATACTACTAAGAGTCCTTAGATACCTGTCCTTTTACATTTCTTCCCTTTACCCAACTCTCCAAATTATTCTTATCTCATTAGGCAATGTTCTAATTGCTGTAACCCACCCTGGGACCTTGGGGTGAAGTGTGGGTAATAAATAATAACAATAACTACTGCAAATTCCTTTCTGCAGTTTGTACCATAACTCAAAAAACAGTTTCACAGTCCAAAACTTATTTCTCATTTTCCTTTATAAAGCTGCAACTTTCTATTATTTCTATCCAAAGAAAAAACTTTAATTCACCTACAATCAAGCTACATTAAGGTGTGCATTAGATTTGATGGCACATTTACATTCGCCAGCAAATACTTTTTTTGGTTTTAATTGTACTCTAGATCCTGATATTCAATTATGAGAGTTCTATACCTCATGGGAGAAAGTCAGTATTTTAAGAACTATAGGAAGATCCTGACACACACAAAAGGGGAACTGACAGCATCTACCAACACGCTTCCCCACAGGGAAAGACACTTTCACTCAATTTCTCACACTTCAAAACAAAGTTTTGAATACCTAGGAGGCATTAACTCAGGCATCCGCAACCTTTGGCCCTCCAGATGTTTTGGACTACAATTCCCATCATCCCTGACTACTGGTCCTGTTAGATAGGGATCATGGGAATTGTAGGCCAAAACATCTAGGGGGCCAAAGGTTGGGGATGCCTGCATTAACTCAAGCTCTTCCACCTTTGAAAATGATGCTTTTGTTGTTAATTCTTGTTAATTTCATAGCATTCATGTCTGATACACAATATTAAACAGGTACAACTTGTCTAACATAGTCCTAAAATAAGCATTAGCTCTGTTCTAAAGGATACAGCCACTTTCTTTAAATTTACCCTAGTTGAATACTTTCTTTAGATATCAATTTTTCATGTTTTTGTTACAAGTAAATATTTTTTATGCAAATTGGAAACTAAGTTAATAATGCCCATCTGCTTAAAAAAAACAACAACCAAAGATCCATGTCTGGAACAGAAAATTGCTACTCAAATCAGTAGAACTTCAACTGTCAAATATAAATTTATACTGAGAGGTATCCAACAAAGTAGTTCTGTTAGTGGAAGGATTTCCGTTTGTGCAACGGAATTTTCCCTCCCTCTCCTCTTTCTGCAATACCTCCCACACCTGCTCAAGTCTGCTCTGGAGGGTTAAGGTAAACCCCAGAAAGATTGGGCAGGGGCAGAAGGTGGATAGGGAGGGAGGGGAAATTATGCTGTGCAGACAGAAGTCCTTGTACCAACAGACCTACTTCACTGGATCCCACCCACTGCATCCTTCTGATCCAAAGAACTCCGAGCAAAAAGAGGAAAAGTATTATTGCTATTCTGTGAACTCTTGTGCAAGACTTCTCATAGAACAGTATCACAGTTGCATTGCATTACTGTATGAGAAACAAGGTGAATGAGGAAGATACAGGCTCCAGTGGGTTATAAAAAAAGTATTGAAAGTGCTTGTGTAAAGTCTTACATAAGAACTTACACAAAAAGGAAGGACTTCTCTGGATTGGAGCTCACTTTTCTTACATTCTTCCACTAAATCAGAAACAACCTTTCCATGAGCACATAATACTCTCTGCTAGCAGAACACTTTTGGATCTAAGCCATTATGTTTAAATATATGATGTCACATATGAAATTGTGGGTTGGCAAAATATCTCTGCTTAGTAACTGGCACTGTTTGACATTTGGCAATCAGTATCACTGAAATAAAAAGTACTAGGTGTATTTTAACGTTACTTAATAAATGACCGTAAGAGAGGAAAGAACACTTAAAATTACCAGTGCTTAGTAACTGTATTGGAAACTTGAATTCTCAAGCACTCATGCAAACTATTGCATGCAGAGAACATGCAAACCCATTACCTGCCTCCCCTTTCCACCTCTGAGAAGAAAACAAACATGTAAAAATATCTTCCTCTCAATTCTCATTATAAAGAAATCACAGTTAGTTTATGAGTTTACTGCATTACAACTAGAATTCAATTAATGTTGTAAACAGTCTTAAATTGCTTTGATCCCATTTTAATTCAAGACATGAAAGTCAATGTAAAAGGAACAACATGGCAACAGCAAAACCAAATTATCTGGGGACAAGCAAGGAAACTGAACAAGGCAGAGATGAGAAACCTGTAGACCTCTAAAAAGTTCTTGGATTCCAACTCCTATCAGCCCCAACCAGCATGGCCAGTAATAAAGAATGATGCCAGCTGGAGTACAGCAACTTATGGAAGGTCACAGGTTATGGATTGCTTTAAGTCAAGTAATGCCCTTCTTCCAACTTTCCTGAGACATGCAGAGTCATCTAGTTCTAAGTCTGACTCCACAAGAACTGGAACTGTTTCAGTTTGGAGGATTACCTAAACTGGAAGCCTCCTGGTCAACTATTTTCCAGTGGTAAGTCATTTCCATCTTCTGTGAAGATACGTAGCACTTTCCATTCTTAAGAAAAACCCCAGAGCTTTATTCCACAATGGGTTTGTTAATATACTGAGCTGTATACACGTAGACTTTCAATGCACTGTCCGTAGAATAAACTGACTGACAACACTTACTCCAAGGAATGTAGCATGCAACTGAAAGCCTTATATGAATTTCTGCCATCAATTAGCATCTTACAAATACTCATACTCCAATTCTGATCACAGAAACACTGCCCTGCACTGTCTAGGATTAGTATATTCCAAATTTCACAAGGCTTCTGTCCCTTTATAAGAACTGTAGATCTTAGAACTCAATCCAGGACACTTTCCCCATAATTCAGTCAACAGAAAAAGCTGCAGCTATGGAACATCTGCCTTTTATACAGAACTGGATCTTTTGGCATATTATCAACACACCACTGAGATTTAACCAGTGTCAATATCATTCGGTGCTTCCCTCATCCCACCCAATGGGCACTGGCATTAGAAGAGCTGCCTGGTAATAATTATCAAGCAAATCCAAATATTTACAGTGTTGTATCATTACTTACATTGTTGTTGCGTGTTTCGACAGCTGGAAATTTTCTTACAATGAATTTGACAGCCGATTCAAGATTTTTGTCAATAAGATATGATGGTTTTGCTTTTGGGTCTCCACATGCCTATGGAAGAAAATGAGAAGAAAAAAAACTAAACATATATTCTTTTCACTAAATACTATATATTTTTAGCTGATCTCCAATAAGAAACTAGATAGACTTCTTTAGCTTTTTAGTGAGCAGGTGAAAAAAATGAGTGGGGATTCTCACAGCTGGACTATGTAATGTGACACAGTACAGAGATGCTCTTCTACTGGAAAAATGCATGGAAATTCAAAGCAGTTAGTGCAGAACAGCAGTGAAGGGGAAGTTCAGTCTTAAAAGAAGAAATGGAAACTTTGGCTAGAAGTAAAGCATGAGGTAGGTTCACCATGTATTTAGTGATGCTAATCAACTGGTAGAAAACTCTAGCTGTCACCACCTATACAGGGCAGTGCTGCACTTATTGCATTATTAGTATAATTTATCTGAAATAAAGAACCAAGCAATATATAGTTAACAGTAGTTCACCTGCGATTTCTCTCTAATATGCTAAACAACTTGGAGTAGTTCAAATGGAGTAGAACTATTTAAATTACATTTTAACAAGTTTATCATTAGGCACAGCTTCTGAACCTAGAGCCACATTCATTATATTTAGGCCTACAAACATGCCACAGCCCCACAAAGAGTTACTTCCGTCACAAAAAGCAAGTATTTATGTGGATTTGGTATTGTCATTCCCCCCTGAAGTCTACTGTTAGTGAGGTGTGTGGCAAGAAAAAAGTTGACTATTAATGGCACAAACAGCAGGCAAGTTCCATTGCCACATGCTATTTTCTTATCAGCTTGCTTCCTAGGGTATGAATTTAATTTGTATAGAGCGGCTGTATACATTTGCTGAAGAACTGTAACTGGACTGCTGGTAGATTGTAACTAATGTGCATGTATCAAACAGATTGCACCCCAGACTGAATGGTGACTCCATCTGTACATTAATTTGGACATTTTAAATTTTATCTACTCTTTCAGTGATCTCAAAAAAGACATTACTCTCTAAATCACCTGTCACACAATTCTTTTCCTACACAGCTGGCTAGCTGTTTACATAATAAATTTATGATCCCTTGTAACAGTAGAACTCTTTTTTAAAAAGTGCTACATTCTAAAGTAGAACTCTTTTTTTTAAAGTGCTACATTCTAACATATAGTTAAGACAAGCTGGGACAGAAAATGGTGAATAGTTGAACTGTGTAATTAACACACCACTGTTACATACTCAGAAGAACGCTGTGCAGCAATCCCGTTTCTGTTTCAAAATCCCTTCCTAGATACAAAATTCTAATTTAATAGAGAATTTGTGGCTCATGCAAATTATAACATGCTATGCATTTTTATGCAACATAGTGAAATGCCAAGATAGCCACTTATTAACTTTTCTACACTTGTGTCGTGAATTATAGAGACAGAAGTCATGAAGTATGAGACTGATCTGAAAGCGGGCAGAGGGAAGGTGAAAAAGCTTTGCAAACCTTCCATACTTGTCCTTGCTGGGGAAGCATTGCAATGAAAAGAGAGAAGATTACACATAAACAAAAAATTTCTTGGATTCCCACAAGCATCATGTCCAGAAAAGCAAACTACCTTATTTACTCAAATCAAATGCTCACCTTTTTTGGCCAAATTAAGAGCGAAAATTAAGGTGTGCATTAGATTCAACGGCACATTGACATTCGCCAGAAAATACTTTTTTTGTTTTGTTTCAAGGTTCTGAAAATTGAGGTTTGCATTAGATTCGATGGTGTATTAGACTCGAGTAAATATGGTACTTCTATTCAACAAAGTTAAAGTCAAGTGCTGGCATAATTAAATATTTCTACTTACAGGCAGCATTCTAAAAGACACTATTTCTATTACATATATGGTGCTCAAAATGTGTGTACAACAATTTCCAATGCACAATATGTTGTATCACATCAGCTTCCAATATATTTGTTCTGAGCAAGAGGGATAGGTTGGAAAGAAACAAAGTTTAGAGCAAATAGAACATGCAATTTTTAGGAGAGCAACTATCAGTGAAATATTACATACCTGAAATAGAAACGGTAGCCAAGAATGAAAAAACAAACAGTCATTATAGTGGAATCCTAATGCTACCTTTATACAATATACTGTACAGCTATGATCTTCAAAAATATGTCTGACCTTTACATAGGATGGTTTTCAAATGAGTTAGTTAACATGTTTCCTATACAGTACAGAAAAAACACACTGGCTACCATTCTTAAACCAACTTAAAAGTAATATATTTACATATTTTTTAAAACCTGAAATTACAACAATGTCTTGTGCACTGGTATGCCATACAGAGAACCATAAAATAAAATCTAAAACTATGATTTTATATGTAGTTTAATATCTCACTTTGGCTAATGTTTAGTCTATAGCAGGCATAGGCAAACTCGGCCCTCCAGATGTTTTTGAGACTACAATTCCCATCATCCCTGACCACTGGTCCTGTTAGCTAGGGATGATGGGAGTTGTAGTCCCAAAACATCTGGAGGACCAAGTTTGCCTATGCCTGGTCTATAGTCTCACTCAAAAATGAGATGGAGCACCATTTGCTTGGCTTCTCTAATTTTCAATATTGGTCAAACATGTGGAGGGCCACCCCTGAACTAAGGGCTTCAGTTGTCAGATATTCAAGTAGCTGCCTGTGATGAATTAGAATTGCAGCCAAGTAGGAGGTGGATTGAAGTGTTTGGGTACAACAGCAGCAAGGCCATATTATAGCACACACTAGTTTTGTTGTAAATGCAGAAGAATTCTTTAGTCAGCAACTTCCCAATACCAACAATTCCAACTGTCATAAAAAGAGGTCAGTCAGTCGACAGATCTCAACAGTAACCAGAGAAGCTTTTGTAACTAAGAACAGAGTTGGGCCCTTATCTACAATATATTCAGGCACACTAGTAAAAAAATATATGTATGAGGGGGCTAGTAATTGCGGGGGGACTGGAGCATGAAATCTTTGAAGAGGAGTATACTAAGGTTACCAGATTTTTTTCAATGAATCCGGGGACACTTTTCAACTTCAGTTGAATTCAGTGGATTTTGTCAGGGGACTGATTTGTAAATCCAGGGACTGTCCCCGGGAAACAGGGACGTCTCGTAACCTTAGAGTATACAATGATTCATTACAATCCTTAGTTTATATAAAAGAGCAACATTTGCTCTTCAACTAGTTGTCTTTGAACTATGTCCACAATCCAGATAAGCAAACACCTGACTTTACATCTCCATTGGTATTTTCAACTTGCTACAAAGCCCACAGATCATGTGGCCAACAACTAATTAAATTCAGGGGAATTTCAAAAGAAATTTGAGGTTAGTAACAGGGATACTGCAGCTGTTTTCTTAAAAATCAAAATCCAGAAGACTAACACATTCATTCCTCTAGCTACACCTAAAGCAGATCCTGGTAGGCTGAGGTTGATGACAAAGGCTACTATTTTTTTAAAAAATAGTTTGAGAAGTTTGAGAAGATGATTACAATTGCCACAGTATATCCAATGAAGAACAACAAGAGCTGTGCCTTAGAAACAATTTACTCCCATGAGAAAATAGGCATGGAGAAAGACTTCATCTGGAAAATCAAAATATTCCTTTGAAAAATAATTTGTGCATTGTGCTATGAAGAAAAAATGCATTCACTAGTAAACTATGAATGTCTTGGTATTTCCAAGTAAATATATTTCCTTCTTCTATAATAACAATTAGCTCTTCCATTAGCCAGCAATGTGGATTTTCCTGAAAAGTTTCTTATACAGTACAAATAAGCGTAATCTGCACTGCAAAAATTTTCAGTTTGCATCAGAAAACTTTCTAACTCCCTAATTTAACATTCATTCTACTTGTCTTTTTTAGAACTGCCATGCTTGTTTAATTTTTGCAATTGGTACCTATTCTTTGCTACTAATGAAATTATGAAATGGAAAAATTCTCCAAAGGGGAAAAAAGCGTTGAGAAAAAAATCACCCCAAATCACTGCTTAGAGCAGTGGTGAAGAACCCTTTTCAGCAGGCTGAAAAAAGCCAGTTTCTCATTTTGTCTGAACCAGATGCAAACCTAACACCTTGATATGACTGGGGAAGTTAGAATACTGCATATTTCCCCATGCCCTGGTTGAGCTAGCTTTAAAACACCAAAATAACTCAGCTGGGTGTATCCGAGGCAAAGCTCTGCTGGCATAAGTTGTGCCAGTGTGGCGAGGGGGGAAAGACATTGTCAGGAGTGGGAATGTTCGTAGCAAAGGGAGGGAGAAATTTAAAACAAAGTCATACTGCATGTTATTAACTCCCTTCGTTCACTGGTCCTGCTTGCAAAGCTTGGTTAAACTTACACCTGCATTTTTGGCGGTGCAACTGAATTTACCCTCTACAAGCCAATGGACAGGCAGAAAATGAGGGTTTACACAGAGTTAGGCAAACTAAGGCCTGGGGGCTGGATCCAGCCCAATCGCCTTCTCAATCTGGCCCGTGGACGTTCCGGGAATCAGCCTGTTTTTACATTAGTAGAATATGTACTTTTATTTAAAATGCATCTCTGGGTTATTTGTGGGGCATAGGAATTCGTTCATTTCCCCCCTAAAATATAGTCTGCCCCCCCCCCAAGGTCTGAGGGACAGTGGACCGGCCCCCTGCTGAAAAAGTTTGCTGACCTCTGGTTTACACTGCTCTTCCCCAAAAAAGAATTCCTGCCATTCTGGTAAAAAACAGTTAGAATGCAGTTTAACTATGCTATCTTATCTGTTCTATGACACAGCTGCCTGTTAGGATTGCTCTGTTCATATCTGTTAATAAACCAGTATGTGACCCTGTTTCATTCACCTAGCTTGTTAACTGACATTAGCCAAGAGTTCTGTTTCAGAAGAAATAATGAACTTGGCTGGTGTGCAACAGTGGAAAAGGAGAAGCAAGGGAGAAGTGCACAGCCACAGCTTGAATAACCATGGTTTATAAAGCCCTGGATGATAATCCAGAGACAGCCATAGCATCTCCCTCTTTTCAAAAAAGTTGATTTACAAGCTATCACAAGTCAGTGCACTAGAGGGTTTTCATGAGTATTCTTGCTGCTGCTGTTTTTTAAGTGAACAGTGTTAACATAGAATCATAGAATCATAGAGTTGGAAGAGACCACAAGGGCCATCGAGTCCAACCCCCTGCCAAGCAGGAAACAGGAAACATAAAATAGGTGGTTTTATTTCATCAACACTGTACTTTATATTACCCTGAAAATACAGATAAATTAACTCTTCTTGGCTAAAGAGATTACATTAAACAAAAAGACTGTGAGCCTGAGCTATAGCAGCTAGCACATTCCCAAACCCTACTGCTCTAGTTAGAATAAAATTAACAACTTGAGGCAGGAATTGAATGGGCTGGGTGGGGAAGAGTTTCATTTTAAGTCAGGAGAGGTAATAATATACACATATAAATTAGGTGTGAATTAAAAAACAACAATCCAGTCAGTTTTTTAAATTATACAATAGGGAGCAGAAAAACTGAAAATCAATGGGGTTTCAAAACTTAACTTTGGCCAGAACAGGCCAACTCTCGCAGCAATTACTTCCTCTTTTCTAAATGAAGAAAAAATCTTAACCAATTTATCTAACCGCAATACCACATATTGCGTAGTAAACCTTTCTTGTTAAAAAACCCCTACAAAACAAAAATACTCAGTGGTAGTGGAGCTATGTCCTTTCCTCCTGCAGTAAACTAGCTGTGTGGCAAGCAGAAAGGATACTTAGAAAAGTTCTCTCCTTGCTTTTAGAGGGCTTTTGCAAGGTAGTGGAAGACTCTAGTGCAAGCTTGTTTGAGATCTGGATCTCAATACTCTAGAATGTAATATTAATGGACAAACTGAGTGACAACCCATGCCCAAGAGAGTTGAACAGACAAGAAAATCACTACTTTTCCATCAACCTGGCATAGTTATATTACGTATGCAACATGGTTATAGGCCTCCAAGAACACATGGAGATTTATGGGATGACACCTTTGCTTAAAATCTGAAATGACTTAAGTTAAATATAATTAAATAGACATTCAGTGCTTCGGGGGGCAGGTTGTAAACAAAACAATCAGCTGTGTAAGCATCACTGTATATCTATATCTATATAGCAAATAAAGAAAACTAAAAAAGGGCTTTGCAACAGCATGAGAAATAACAAGACTGCGCTATTCAGAATCCCATTAATGCCATTCTTTTTGCTCCATCTACTACTAGACCACATTAGAAAGACACCTGAAAAGCCACTGCTTTAAACACTGACCCTTCATTACCACAGCAATTTCATAAAAATTCAGATACAAAAATGCAATCCGCATTAACTACAAAATGAATTTCTGATCTGCTATGAAAATAACTGTTTCAAGCCCAGCTGTTTATGATGGGCCTTATTTTCTACTCAAGACTTTGTGACAGTGGGGTGAGATGAGGGACCTGAAATTCACGTGAATGTTATAATTAAGTTATTAACTAACTATTGCTGGAAGTTGAAAAGGAGATACATTCAAAGTCATGCTATGCTAGCAGGGTTGACACCTTTAAGTCATGTATCCTTTATCATTTTTCAAAAAAGGAAAATATTCAGGCTTTGAGTCTACACTACAGGAAGAAAGATAAGGCAGTACAAAATTTCAACAACACACACATGATTTAGAACAAAAACATATGAGCTTTGAGTACAAGCTGCTTTGATATTAGGCTTTTTTTTTATTAAAAAAAAAGTTCACTCCCTCTGATACTCCCTTACAAATAAGCTTACAAGAGTTACTAAATCCAATCCAATAAATCTCTACTCAGAAGTAAGCACCACTGTGCTTAATGGGACTTTGATATGGAGTATATTGAAGGCAAAAGTGAGAGAATTTTTTGTAGTGTTTGCATGCTTGGTCTCCTGCATTCTCACTTGCCAGATGACCTGTCATGTTGCTATTATTTACAAGCCTACAGAGCAACATTTCCATGCTAACCAAGTATCATTAGCAGAAACTTTTTCATTAACTTTAACTTTTGTCAAAAGCACACTAAACTCCATATAACTTTTTAAAAATCCGGAATGCACTGACTTCAGTCTTGTACATCCTGTCTTCTTTTTAAAAACTAGAGTCCCTTTGATCAATTAATCCGATAGCCATTACAATAGTCATCTTCAAATATCTAAAGGCTGTCACTTTGAAGATGGAGCAAGTTTTTTTCCCTCCTGCTCCAGAGGGTAGGACCCAAACCAAAAGCTTCAAATTACAAGAAAGTACATTCTGACTAAACATCAAGAAGAACTTTCTGTTGGTAAGAGCTGTTTGCTGATTGGAATGGACTCTTTCGGAAGGTGGTGGAGTCCTCTTCCTTGAAGGTTTTTAAGCAGAGTTGGATGACCATCTGTCATGGATGCTTTAGCTGAAATTTCTGCATTGCAGGGGGTTGGACTAGATGGCCCTCAGGGATCCCTTCCAACTTTGCAAATATATGTTTCTAGGATTCTATAACCTGTGTTAAGTAATCCTATGTACTTCAGAATATATGTAACTTGCAGAATATAAAGTTCACCAATCCCAATTGCTTGCAACAATTCCAGCAGTCAACAGACAGTATGCAATACGCAAAAAGTTTTTTGCTGCCCATGAAAAAAGAACACCATCTCTGTCTACCCCTCTTTCTGTAGAGTTGAAGTCTTTAAATCAATCAGATTTATGCAGCTTGAAAATTTAAAGACCCTGGCAATACATAATATATAAAAATAACACTATGCAGTGTCAAGAAAATTGACAGTGAATTCTCTCCTTTTTTTTAAATCAAACCTTGTAGTGACCCTAGGAACATTCATATTAAACTCACTAGGGCTTAATTTTCAATAATATGCCTAACTTTGACCTGCTTAATATATCAGGGGTGGAATTTTTAACCTCACTTAAGAAAAATGAGTATTTTAGAAATATTTTATAATTTTCATTGTACTGTACAGTTGCAGCAGATGAAATCATGACCAGAAAAACAACCAATTGTTATTTTTGAACATTCTGTCTTAATATTTTGCAACTGACAACTCTCACAACACTGCACGATTGTTAAAGCACTCAGTGAGGGGCAGGGGGGAGAACAGTGCATTGATTTTGTGCAGGACATCAATACTGTGGGTTGCTTACAGAGTGTGCCAAAACTACCAGAAGCATAGCCTGTCAGCAATATCTTAACTTTCCAAAATGTACCTTTTCTTTTTGGCTAATCCAACCAACCAAAGCAAGCACCTGCTATTTAAACCTTCCACACGAAGGTTCACCGGAACCACCTGAATGTTGCAAATCCAGTTTCGCTTCCAATGAGAAAGGGTCCAAATCGTATTCCCCCCACCCCACCCGCTTTGTCATTATTTGGACCGCCAGTATAAGAAGAGGTTAATCCTGCCCCCCCTCCCGTTGCATGACTCACACACACAGTGCAGGCTCCATCTACTACCTTCCCTCGATTTGTGCGCCCAAGTCATTTTAAATCACATACAGTACTCGATAGGGAATTGTGGCGGCGACCCTCCTCTGAACCCATTTTCTGAAAAGGCGCGGGGGGGGGGGAGAGAGAGAGAGAGAGGTTGGTACTGAAAAAAATTGACCTGGCCGAGATTTTTTTTGGGGGGGAGGGCAGAGGAGGAGGTCCTTCCCCCAAAAAAGACCATCTCCCCCTTCCCGATACATCCTCCTTTTCCATGGGGTATGTGGGGAAGGGAGAGAGGAAGACCAGATGGATCAAACCAGATGGCGCATCCGGCGGCCCGATCCCACATTTCCCACCCCTCCTTCCTCCCCACAGGGCCTTGGCGCAAAGGAAAGCGCCTCCGCCCCGGAGCCGAACAAGTCCCCACACCCAGAAGGCCTCGCTGACTAAGATGCCGCTACTACGACGACGACGACGGCCTCCTTTTTTCCTTTCCCTCGCTCTCGGGGAAAGGCGCGAGTGAGGCAGTTTAGGCCTCCCCTCAGCCGCCCCGCATCCCCGGCCCTTTCCTCCCCAGCCCCGCAGCCGGGCCCGCGCACCTTCTTGATGTTGTAGAGGCGGGTGAGCATGCCGACGCCGCGGTCGTTGAGGATGGTCAGCTTCTCGGCCAGCTTCTGCTGGCTGGGCTGCAGCACCGAGCGCGACATCCTGACGCGAGGGCGGTTAGGCTCTTTTTGCGCGCGCGGCTACGGCCGGCAGCCAAGGAAGAGCGAGCGGACGCTGGGCCGCGTCGCTCGCGCTGAAGGCGGCGGCGGCGGCGGCTGAGGGGAAGACGGCTGCTCCTCGCTTGCGCACTCGCCTCCGCCAAGCCGACGCGCCTCCCCCGCCCGACCGGCCCCCTCAGCCGCGCTCACAGCGCCGCCGCAGCAGCCGCGGCCCGGCTTGGCCAGCCGTTGCCGCCGCCACCCTCGTCGTCGCTCTCCTCTCAGCCACCGCCAATCTCGGGCTTCGCTAGGCGTGGCGGCGGAGGCAGCGGCGGAGGCGCGCTCTCGCTCTCGCTCTCTCGCTCTCTCTCTCGCCCCCTCCCTCTCCTCCTCCACCCGGCCGCTGCCCACAGAGAGGCTGGGCTCCGGCGCCCCACGTGACCGGGCGCCTCTCTGCTGCCCCTCCAAGGTGAGGCGCTCTCGTTGTCACGTGGGAAACTAGGAAGTGGCGGGGGGGAGGGCTGTGGAAGGCAGCCGGGGCAGGTTCGGAGGGACACCCGCTCTGCCGGCCAGCGCGTAGCAGGGGTAGATCTCTCTCTCTCTCTCTCTCTCTCTCTCTCTCTCTCTCTCTCTCTCTCTCGTGTTCCTTTCGGGTTTTGGGGAATCCGGTATGTTGCACGCCCTCCCGACATTTCTCTGGTGAAAATAGGGATGTCCTATTCCATCATCATCGTCGTTCTTGTTATGGTTTTTTCTATACCCCACCTATCTGACCAGGTTGGTCTTCTAAACTCTAGACCAGGGGTCAGCAAACTTTTTCAGCAGGGGGCTGGTCCACTGTCCCTTAGACCTTGTGGGGGGCCGGACTATTTTTGGGGGGGGATGTGAACAAATTCCTATGCCCCACAAATAACCCAGAGATGCATTTTAAATAAATTGAGAAGGCGATTGGGCCGCATCTGGCTCCCGAGCTTTAGTTTGCCTACCCATGCTCTAGACACTCTGGGCAACTTCTGACATATATATATATAGTATATTTGATTTAATGATGTAATGGGTTTTTATATTTTAAATATATATATATATAAATTAAAAATATAAAAACCCAATACAACAACATTAAATCAAATATACTGCATAGAAACAGTTGTAAAAAAATGGTAAAAACAAAAAATGGTAAAAATTATATATATATACATTATATATGTGTGTGTGTGTATGAACACACACACTAGTAAAAACCCAATACAGTGTCACTAAATCATGAATGTTTTAATGTGTTTTTATGTATGTTAGATGCTGCCCAGAGTGGCTGATATATAAAACAAATATATAAAAACCAAAAAAAGTGAAAACAAAAAATAGTAAAAAATAAATAAATGGTAAAAACAAAAAAAAGTGTATGCACAAACACACACACACACACACACACACACAGTAAAAACCCTATACAACATCATTGAATCATGAATGTTTAATGCTTTATTATGTTTTTATATATGTCAGAAGCCGCCCAGAGTGGCTGGTATAAACAGTAAAAAAAATATTTAAAAACTTCCCTATAAAGGGCTGCCTTCCGATGGCTCAGCGGTCCAGGAGTAACTCCCTACCCTCCAACATTTATCCGATGAAAATAGGGACGTCCTAAGGAAACGGGGGGCATTCTGGGATCAAATCAGAAACTGGGACAGCTTCTGTAAATCTGAAACTGTGCCTGGAAAACAGGGACGCTTAGAGGATATGCGTTCTGTTCACAGAATCACAGAATTGTAGAGTTGGAAGGGACCCTGAGGATCCAACCCCCTGTAATGCAGGAATATACAGCTACAGGGTTTGAACCTACAACCTTAGCATTATCAGCACCACACTCTAACCAACTGAACTATGATAGGTCATTCAGTAAATTACTTTGGTTATAGAAATATCCATCATCCTGCCTAGCTTGGGAATCTGAAGCACCTATGTTTTCAAGTCAGATCACTTTGGAGATACTTTAATATGGTTGGTATCTGGACTGGTTGTTCTGCTTCTGCAGTTGCTTGAAGACTTGTAATAAATTGGCAAAAGTTGTAGGATGATGGAGATTCTGTAGCTGTAAGTTTGGTTGCATTCCTAGTTACACTTGGAATGCCACAGAGAAAGAAAACAGAACCAGCATTATAAAAAGGTAAAGGTAAAGGACCCCTGGATGGTTAAGTCCGGTCAAAGGCGACTATGGAGTTGTGGCACTCATCTCGCTTTCATGTCAAGGGAGCCGGTGTTCGTCCACAGACAGCTTTCTGGGTCATGGGGGCAGCATGACTAAACTGCTTCTGGTGCAATGGGACACTGTGACGAAAGCCAGAGCGTATGGAAACACAGTTTACTTTCCCGCCACAGCGGTACCTATTTATCTACTTGCACTGGTCTGCTTTCGAACTGCTAAGTTGGCAGGAGCTGGGACAGAGCAATGGGAGCTCACTCCGTCTCGGGGATTCAAACCGCCAACCTTCCGATCGGCAAGCCCAAGGGGCTCAGTGGTTTAGACCACAGTGCCACCGGCATCCCTACCTGCATTATAAGAAAATATGGAACTGGATAAAAGTTTAAAAGTGGAATAAAGCGGTAGTGAGAAGATCCGCACTTCCAGTAATCCCTGGGTGTGTTTTTTTTTAATACCTGTGTACGTGCTCAGAATGGGGGGGGGGAGTAGCGGAGGGTGTGGGTGGAGTAATCTAGGATTGCATGAAAGGCTACTGGAAGAACAAATAAAAATAATTAAAATTTATGAATGCCCTTTCTGACAAAGCAAATGCTATCTAAGTACCACCTTTTGCTTGGGGGGATATGGCTGAGGATCAGGAAATTGACTTAAGAAAAATCTGAGAAGGTGCCAGGAATGTTGCTCCTGCTTGCTTCTGTTCTTCTCCTCCTCTGGGTGTAGCTGGGCAATGAAACTGTGTAGATGAGTCTAGCAATTTACATAGAAAGAGTGGAAATACAAGACCAGGCAGTATCAAAATAACTTCCATAGGAGTGGTGAAATCAAAACGCAAAAGGCAGAACAAAATTCAAACCAGTGTCACTGAGGAAGCAAGTAGTATTTAAAATCTTACATGGGCTACACCACCCAAGCATCAAAGCCGTTTGCAAGAAACCCTTCATTTAAAAAACAAAACAATTGAAGCCGCGGCAAGGAAAAGCAGTCTGTGATCATGATAAAATCAAACAACAACAAAAACAGCTGCCATGGATCATCTATGAGAAACCTTGGAGAAATAAAAAGTCTTAATTTGCCATTTAAATGATAAAAGAGTTGGCCCTTTCTGAACCTGCCTGGGGAGGGTATTCCATAACTGGGTCCACCACTGAAAAGGCTCTCATCCCAGTCATTAGCCATCTCGCTTTCGTAAGCCAGAGCAGCCAGAGGAGGACTTCCACATGAGATCTTAGGTTTGGGACAGGTTGTGTATCTTTGAGAAGTTGTTGCATACTTTTTCATTTGCACATAATCTGGCTGTGTCGTAAATTTAAGCCGGTAAAAGACAGCATTCCAGTCATATAGCATTAACTGGTCTGGGTTTGGAAGTTTTAAAGTGTCCTTATTATTTGCCCTGTTTTCATACGATAGAACTTGCAGATTGCGTTCTACTCCCAGGGACCCTCTTCCTAACACTTTGTGATCCTTTGTGAACACAAGTTGTGATCCTGTGCATGCATATTTCTTGAGAGTAAATCCCATTAAAGTCAGAGAGCCTCACTTGTGTACGTTATGGTCATCAAACTTCTGAGCAGGGATGGGCGAATCTGTCAAATTCAATTTCTCTCAGTTATTTCGTTTCCTAAAACAACCATTTTAAGTTTCATAATAGCCACCCTAACTTTTTTTAAAGCTACTAAAGTATCTCCCTCATCTCATTTCCCCCTCAGTCTTTCTGCTGGTCGCAGCCATGCTCTCCACTCTCATCCCTCGACAGACACTCTTGACATTCATTTCCACCCGCTTACTGTCAATCATAACCCACACACCTGCTTTCAAACAACTGTCTGAATTTCATGGCCGTGCCCATGATAGCAGGGGGCGATTTTACTGCAAACTTGAACCTTGCAGTTATGACCTCCATAAACACACTAGCAGGGTTTAATATATGAACGCCCAATTTACCAGTCATGGGGATGGGCAGAACAGGAGAGCAGATCTTAAGATATGGGTAGGATAGTATGGGTGCAGATGGTTAGATAAAGAGTTTGGGTCCACACACTGCTCAGGTCTCCTGTATGGAGCTGGGGCCTTGCCCGGAAGCTCATGGAGGACTGGCCTTTGTCCTCATCCTCTCCAGCACACCTTTCTTATACTTATAACATTATTGTTTAGGATGGGGGTGGGGGTTAGTTTGGATGATGCTCATGGATCTAACCAAACGTGTAATTTGGTATCTGCAAGATTGGAGTTTGTAATAGAGGGAACCTGTTGAACTGGTTGAGTCAGTTTCTTTGTTAGGCAAATTTATCAAATTTTCAGATGACACCAAACTGGGAGGGGTAGCCTATGCCGCAGAAGACAGAATTGGGATTCAATGTGACCTTAACGGATTGGAGAGCAGGGCCTAAAGCAAGGGTTGCCCAAAGGTTTTTCAAAGAGGGCCAGATTTGATGAAGTGAACATGCATGAGGGCCAACCAAAGTTTTTTAGGATTGAAGTTGTTGAGCTTTTGGGGGGATTTTACCCCAGGAATTAAGCTGCCACAGGGACTGGATTGAACCAGCCGGCAGGCCGGATTAGACCCACAAAACGGACTTTGGACATGCCTGGCCTAAATGAACAAAATGAGTTTAAATAGGGACAAATGTCAGGTTCTATACTTATGCAGGAATAACTAGCTGCACCAGTATAAGATGGGGCACACCTGCTCTTGAGGGTAGGACTCGAGGCAGTGGCTCCAAGTTACAAGAAAGGAGATTCCGACTAAACATTCAGAAAAAAACTTTCTGACAGTAAGAGCTGTTCAGCAGTGGAACAGACTCCCACGAGAGATGGTGGACTCTCCTTCCTTGGAGGATTTTAAGCAGAGGTTGTATGGTCATCTGTCATGGATGCTTTAGCTGAGATTCCTGCATTGGAGGGAGTTAGACTAGATGACCCCTGGGGTCTCCTCCAACTCTAAAATTCAATGATGCTAGTCCATGTTAAGTTGCACCACCGACAGGAGCAACTCAGGTTGTGGCCTGAATATGGAATATGGTATGTGTCTGCCTGTGCTGTCCCTATACCACTCATGAAACTTATCTGATTTTAGCCGTTTTGGCATATTTTCACTGGCACGAGCATTGTGCCCATGGAGGAGGCCATTGGCATACCCCAGGAATTATGCAACATATCAGGTGTTGCAGCAGCATAGGGGGCGCTTTTGCTGCATCAGCTGACGCATAGCTCCCTAGCTTTGGAATGAGTCGCCTACAAGTGCTTCTAATACAGAAAATAAGGCAGTTTTGGTATTGAATTCAGCCTACAAAGGCAGGAAATGCACAAAAGCAATCTGTGCATAAGGTATGTTGGAAAGGTGACTGAGAAATGGATAAACAAATAAAACACATGTCCCTAGTTAAATACGCTTAAGTGTCTTGGGGGATAATGAAAGCCAGCCCCTGCAGGGGTGCTGTTGCATACTACAGCTTATAATTTTAATTTTTAGTAAGTTAACTCCTCTTGTTCCCTATAGTAAGATAATAAGAACACATACGTTGCATGCTAACTAGATTTGAAAACCTAAATCTAAAGCCATAGTCATAAATATAAATGAAGGCTAGAGGTGTATGCATCTTGGACGGCTGGTTTTTAATAAATTATTGCAGTCAGCTACCAGTCACATGCAAAATCTGGAACACACTTTTATAATAACTCTCCTAAAGGCAGAAGAGGAGGTCTCATAATCATAGGATTTCATTCCAACATTTCTTTTATTTTTTCTGGTCTTAAATCTTCTGATTTATGCAATGGTTTGCTGGCTTCCATAACTGTATATCATTTCATAGAAAACCCCTATCATTATATTATAATGTTGTATTCACATATAAATGTATGCAAATATAGAACAGTATTTTCTTTGATGTTGCCAGGTATGTGTTAGGGTTGTTATAATTATGGTTACGTTGTGGTTATTATTATTATTACAGAGGAAATAGCACTTATGTCAAGATTTAGCACTTTGAGGAAAATCTACACCTGTGAGCTTTTATTTATTTATTTTTAATTTGCTTTCCACATAAAATTAAAAATGAATAAACGTTTGTTGGTTAATGAAAAATAGCTGCAGGTATAACAGCAGATGGTATTTATAATAATTTGTTTTTTAATTAAGCAAATATAGGATCCTGGAAAATACCATGGGGAGGGGAATCTAACACAGAACAGATTTCTTCTCTTACATACATAGATAGTTCTCACATAGGACTTGATATACTCCCACCAAGGCATCATTGCTAAAACTTGATGTAATAAAGCACCAAAAATTAATAATATGAGTAGTCTCTTATGCTATAGTCAAAGCAAACTGCTAATGTGTTTGAAGTCAAGTATATGCTTAAGGGCTTTTCCAAATCAGTTTGCATTATGCTTCGCAGGAGAAACATTTGCCCTGATTTTTCATTTTTCAGTTATGCTTTAATTCTTTAGTAATGGATCTCTGAGTAGTATGCTCAAATAGCATGCAAAGGTTTCTTTTTTTCAAGGAATAAAACTTCCTGAGGGCCAAACAAAAGTTACATGAGAGATTCACAACAGAGACTGCAATGTTATGCACTGCTTACTTTTGAGTAAGCCCACTGAGGTCAATGGAAATTACGTTCAAATAAAAATGTAAACAATCTGACTGCAGATCTCCTAAAAGCAATCATGGAGGGACATGATTTGGATTGGGGCCCCTCACAGTGATTCCCCAAAGGAAATTTCCTCAACCCTCCAGAACTCCTATTAGCAATGGAGGAGAAAACATAGAGGCACTAGTTGCCTTGTTTGGGTGACTCCATCCCCTTGCTCCCTCAATTTGCAGTTGTTTTAATTTTGATGTTTTTGTAACCCACCCTAAGACCACTGGGTGAAATATGGGCTGTAAATGCAAAAGAAAGATCAGCCGATGAATAAGAATTTAGTCCAATTAAGCAGCAAAATATCATTTGATCAGAAGCCATACAGGCATATGTGTGGGACGATATTTTATTTTATTTTATTTTATTTTATTTTAGCTCAGAGCACAATTTGGGGAATTGGAGGAGGAAGATTACAATGATATAAAAATAATTTTTTGTCACTAATTACGGTTGTCTCAAATTAAAGTTGTCACAAATTAAAGCGACTGGTGTTCAATAACTCAGAAGCACTTCCCAAGGGCTTCAATCACTGGAATCCACTGGTAGAACTATAAATACAAATAAATGGAGGCTGGTCCATTAGGATGAATGGGACATTGGCCCACCAACATCATCCTGCCCTCCATCAGCCATTTGCCTACCTTCCTGCTTGCAACCAGTTCATCTGTCACTGCCTGCCAGCTTTCTCCTCCTTAGTCTCAATGTTGCCCTTGTAGAACTCAGCAGGGAGGAGGATGGGGACAAAACTAGCATCAGTTTTCTCTGGCTCCACCTACTGTTCAGCTCCCCGCCTTCTGCTCTATCAGTCCCAATGGGCACCAGCCACCACTGCACACACTTTTCCTCTGGGCTCAAGATGGTCTTCTTCTTCTTCTTCTTCTCTTCAGCGCTGCTACGCTACAACCCAACTCTTATTCCCCAGTAGCATCAGGCTCCTCAGAGTAGCCACGACCACCACCTAACCTTTCTAAACATTCAGTAAACATTTTGTTCAGTGGGAATTCCATCCACAATGCTGCCCTCCCCTTTCTCTTTCCCTTATGTGTCAGGGCTGCAATACCTCAAGGACTGCTTCTTCCCATAGAAACCGTCCCAGACTCTGCGTTCTGAGGCCCTTCTTTGTGTGCCTCCTCTGCGTGAGATCAAAAGGGTGACAACACAAGAACGGGGTATTTTCTGTAGTGGCTCCCAGTTTGTGGAATGCTCTCCCCAGGGAGGATTGCCTGGTGCCTTCATTATACAGTGGTGCCTCGCAAGACAAAAAACTTGCTAGACGAAAGGGTTTTGCGTTTTTTGAGCTGCTTCGCAAGACGAATTTCCCTATGGGCTTGCTTCACAAGACGAAAAACGAAAACGTCTTGCAAGTTTGTTTCCTTTTTCTTAACACCGTTAATACAGTTGCGACTTGACTTCAAGGAGCAACTCATAGAACGCGGTGTGGTAGCCTTTTTTGAGGATTTTGGTGATTTTTGAAGCTTTTCCAAAACTTCTTTTGCAGCCATTTGGTAAGTTAAACTTTTAAAACTTTTTGGGGGGTTTTTGGATTTTGGGTTGGGGTGTTTGGAATTCAAGGACTTGGTGTTGGGGAGGGGTTTGCAAGAATCTGGAAGCTTGTGTTTTTTTTCTGCATTTTTATGATTTTCTGTGACCATTGGGCCACTCTGCTGTTTTTTAAAAAAAATTCTGGATTTGAATTTCTGTGTGGTGGGTGGCTGGGGGAACAGTTGAGGAGGGGTTTGCAAGAATCTGGAAGCTTGTTTTTTTTTTCTGCATTTTTATGATTTTCTGTGACCGTTGGGCCATTCTGCTGTTTTTTAAAAAAAATTCTGGATTTGAATTTCTGTGTGGTGGGTGGCTGGGGGAACAGTTGAGGAGGGGGTTCTTCAGCAAGAAGCAAAGAGTGGACGAGGAACCTTCTTCCAGTTGTCCCCCAGAGTCTTAGAAAATGTACTGTACACTTTGTTGATTTTTAAATGTTTTTCTGTCATGTTTAGAAACTTAATTTATTGTTCCTTCAGTTTTTGAAATGCTCTTTACAGTATGTGTGACTTTAAAGAGCACTTAATAAACTCTTGTTGTACCAAATTTGGCTTTGTTTGGACTTTTTTTGACCATAGGAACGCATTAATTGAATTTCAATGCATTCCTATGGGATTTCGTGCTTCGCAAGACGAAAAATTCACTAGACGAAAAAACTCGCAGAACGAATTAATTTCGTCTTGCGAGGCACCACTGTATACTTTTAGGCGCCAGGCAAAAGCGTTCCTCTTCAACCAGGTCTTTGACTGATTATTATCCTGTTGTTGTTTAGTCGTCTCCAACTCTTCATGACCCCATGGACCAGAGCATGCCAGGCACTCCTGTCTTCCACTGCCTCCTGCAGTTTGGTCAAACTCATCTTGGTAGCTTTGAGAACACTGTCCAACCATCTCGTCCTCTGTCTTCCCCTTCTCCTTGTGCCCTCCATCTTTCCCAACATCAGGGGTCTTTTCCAGGGAGTCTTCTCTTCTCATGAGGTGGCCAAAGTATTGGAGCCTCAGCTTCAGCATCTGTCCTTCCAGTGAGCACTCAGGGCTGATTTCCTTCAGAATGGATAGGTTTGATCTTCTTGCAGTCCATGGGACTCTCAAGAGTCTCCTCCAGCGCCATAATTCAAAAGCATCAATTCTTCGGCGATCAGCCTTCTTGATAGTCCAGCTCTCACTTCCATACATCACTACTGGGAAAACCATAGCTTTCACTATATGGACCTTTGTTGGCAAGGGTGATGTCTCTGCTTTTTAAGATGCTGTCTAGGTTTGTCATTGCTTTTCTGCCAATAAGCAGGCGTCTTTTAATTTCATGACTGCTGTCATCATCTGCAGTGATCATGGAGCCCAAGAAAGTAAAATCTCTCACTGCCTCCATTTCTTGTTTATTATCCTACAGCCTTTTAAATGTGTCTGGGAAAGGGAGGTATTGTTTCGCTGTTTTGTTTTACTTATTGACTTGTTTTTATTTTGTATTATATTATGCGAACCACCCTGACATCTTGCGATGAAGGGCCAGTAAACAGATAAAAAAGAGGAACATGCCCTCTCTCATTTTTAAAGGTGTCTGTACACTGTGGTTTGCCAGCCACAAAGGGATATGGAAAACGAGAAGAAGTGTGAGCAGATCTCAGTGTGCGCGGCTGGCTGTGTGTTATTTCATCCGGCAGCCGGGAGAGATTTCTCTCTGCTTCGGCACAAAAGGGCTCCGAACCAATCCAGAAGCACTTCCCTGTGGCCAATCGGAAGCCGCCTTACACAAAGGTCTTAGAAAAAGGAAGCTGAATAGAGTACACAAGCTTTCTTTCTCTTTGCCTGCCAGCCTGCCTCTAGCAGACTGACTCTCCTAGGCAGGGTGTCACTGCGTTCAGGGTACGCGCTGTGTGAAAGGTTGGAAAAGATCTACGCACCACCACGGACAGAAAGAGCCATAGGCAAAGAGGCTTTCTTTCCCCACACACCCCCTGTTTTCTCCTCCTTTGCTACTACTAGCTTGAAGGCTTCTTTGCCCATGTAATGCACTCGCTCACCCAGGAAATCAAATCTTTCTCCAGGACTAATCTGAAGAAACAATGCACCAGAGTGACTACTCTAAGTGGGAAGAGAATCATAGAGACCTGGAAGGATGCTCGGATGCACGTGGTGGAAGTAGCGGATGGTAACGATGGGGATGGCTGTGGTTATGTGCAAGACCTGAGTCTGGATCTTCAAGTTGGTGTGGTGAAGCCCTGGCTGTTGCTTGGTACGTAGGTGGAGCCAAGAAACGGATGCATATGGGTATTATTAGGAAGCTTGTATTTATATATTGATCTGCCTGATTTAGTAGACTTGCAGGACATTTAAGGGTTTCATCTTTCCTAGCTCTTGTAAAATGTTATGGTCTCTGTCACTCACCTTTTAGTGTTATTTGAAACAAGCCCGTGGCTTCATCCGAAATAGGCTGGGTGGTCTTGCACTCTGTATCTTACTCCTTGCCCAGGTTACCGAATAAAATGTTGTTCTCTCCTCACAGGGTCACAAGATGCTGCCCATGACCTGGAGACAATGCAAAAATACAGGGTAATGAAGCTATGTGGGTTTTAAAAACATAATCACCATTATTAAAAAGCTGTCTCATGTTAAAGAGATCTAACTTTCAAAGGGGCATCGCCAGCTAAGTCATACTCGGAGTAGAGCCCTTGGAATAAATGGACTTAAGTGACTTACACCCATTGATTTCAGTGGCTTTGTGGGGGGTGAATGTTGGATATCTGGCAGTAGGGTTGTTTGTTTTTAGTTTCTTTGAAACTTATGTTCCTCAGCATTTGAAGGAATTGCAAAATGTAAGACTATATGGCTCCTTATACAAGACAGAAGATAACTGAAATGGATCCTACGCACACTTAGATGGCAGTAAGTTCTACTTAAACGTTAAACTGCAATCCTGTGCATAGTTACACTCGAAAGTAGGCAGTACAGTGGTACCTCGGGTTAAATACGCTTCAGGTTACATACGCTTCAGGTTACAGACTCCGCTAACCCAGAAATAGTGCTTCAGGTTAAGAACTTTGCTTCAGGATGAGAACAGAAATCGTGCTCCGGTGGCACGGAGGCAGCAGGAGGCCCCATAGGCTAAAGTGGTGCTTCAGGTTAAGAACAGTTTCAGGTTAAGTACGGACCTCTGGAACGAATTAAGTACTTAACCCGAGGTACCACTGTACTGAACTCCCTGGGATTTAGTTCCGATGCTTTAATTGCCCTTATAGTCTTCAACTAATATGTTTAGGATTGAGGTGACTGTGTCTGCATTGGATTAAGTGTGGGTTAAAGTGGGCTGCTCTTAGTCTTGAGCCCCATTATTCTTGAGCCCCATTAGGTCACATTCATTAAGCTTTGTAGGGCCTGGTTTAATATTTGTGTATAGCAAAATATTTAATTTCATTGCAGTTTTGAACTTGGGTTCAAGAAATAAAATGGAAGCATGTTAGCCTTTGTGAAAGATTGCTCAGCTGTTGTTGACTGAGGTCCTCAGCCATGCCAGAATGTAGAGGTTGCAAAGCTGCCTCTGTCTTGATTTCTCTTTTGTATTTTAGGTTACCCACGTTCTCAACGTAGCCTATGGAGTTGCAAATGCCTTCCCCAATGACTACATATATAAGACCATTCCTATTCTTGACCTGCCAGAGACTGACATTGCCTCCTATTTCCCTGAATGTTTTGAATTCATTGAGCAAGTCAAATTAAAGGTAAATTGTTTCTGTGTGTCATTAATGAGTGATTGGAGGCGGGGTGTGTGAGAGCAAATGTACATATTTTACACTGCACGTATTCTTAAGATAAATTAAAATTCTTTGAGCTTCCACTCTTAAATACTGTTATAGAAACATCAAATTGTACTTCACACAGGCTTGCTCTGGATCCCTTTAAGGACTTGTTAATCACTAAATGAATACTGTGATTAACAAAACAGGGTATTTTAAATTTATGTTGCAAAATGTTTTGGATTCTCCAAATGGAACTGGCTGGATGGAACTAGCTGGATGGAACTCCAAATGGAACTAGATGGAACTAGCTGTTCCATCAAAATGAAATGATGCCGTTACATAACTTTGAGGATGGAAGGCTCAGAAAGCCTTCAGTTGCTGAAGCTAAGTGATACTCTCCTCCAAATTGAAATCCAGCATGTAAATCCAGAAGTTTCCCCTTTTTGCTGATGTTGTTGGATCTGCTGACATCTCCATGGCATTTATTGATAAATCTGACCACACTGTGTTGGACATAACAATCATTACTAGAGATGCCAACACCTGTGAGGTAGTTTCGTTAGCACAAAGACTTCTGGCCACGCAGTAGAAATGCTCTTCTTTCTCATCTCCCTGTCCACCACCACAACTCCCCATAATCTGTCTTAAGTTTTTCTGCAACCCTTTGAAGCAGATTTGGAGATAGGAGAGAGAGAGGAAGTTTTGGTGTGCAAACAGAAATATAATTTCCCCCACATACGTTTTGATAAGGAAAGGTAGAATTCTATACAGTGGTACCTCAGATTACAGACGCTTCAGGTTACAGAATCTGCTAACCCAGAAATAGTACCTTGGGATAAGAACTTTGCTTCAAGATGAGAACTGAAATCGCACAGCAGTGGCGCAGCGGCAGTGAGAAGGCCCCATTAGCTAAAGTGGTACCTCAAGTTAAGAACAGTTTCAGGTTAAGAATGGACCTCCAGAACGAATTAAGTTCTTAACCTGAGGTACCACTGTATTAGAATAATTATCTTTGAAAGGCACTTCTTGTACATAACCACTTGTTCAAGGAAAACAAAGCTTGATCCATTTCCCATAATCAGCATGTTTGATGCTAAAAGCTGACAATATCTTGGCTTTTCAAATCTAACTCCAGGTGATTCCGTGAGATTTTCATTATTTACATAGTCTGGAATTGAGGAAGATAATACTGCTCCATCAAGCTTTGTGTTATTTTAGAAGGAAGGAACACAGCATATTGTTTACAAGTTACCTGAAACGTGTGTTCATTTCATGCCCTCCTTGAGGTTTCAAGTTACGGTTTCCACTTCCCTTCTAAATTAGATTTGCCATTCAAAGTAGCTTAGTGTCACTGTTTTACCTCGGAGGTTTAATTGTTTGATTAGTCCTTTATACTCAAGAATACCCATATAATCATTTCTAACTATACTAATGCTTCATAATACAAGATGCTTTTGTTACCGTAGGAAAAATAACATAATTTATTCACTTCTGATTAAAACCCTCCACCAAATAAAGCAGGACAAATTAATAAAGCATTAGATTGTGAACAAGTCCACTCTGGCCTCAGAGACAGGCTCTCCCTTCTCATCCTTTGGCGTGTATCTGAGGAAGAGATCAGAGGAAGTTGGTTAAAACCAACTGCAGTTTTGTGGATACTTTCCAAAAGGGCAAACTGTGGTTAGTTTAAACTATGATTTATTGATACAGAAACCATGCTTTCTGGTCTTGATTTGTTCCAATGAATCACAGTTGAAACTAACCACAGTTTCCAGTTTGGACATAATGACAAACGGTAGTTAGTTTAAACTTGGAAGTGGGTACTTAATTTAACACAGATGGCAGAACGGGAAATTATCCTGTTAGTTTCTATACAATCAGCAAAAGCTGATTAGATATCACGCACCTATTTGGGAGATAGGATGACTGGAACTGATCCTCCCTTTAACCAACTTCTCCCAGCAAGTGATCAGTAGAGGCAAGACTGATAGTACTCACTTATCTGTTCAGTGGAAGGATCTTTGAGTGCATGCCGCTTACTAGAAATTCAAGATCAGTATATGAAACAGAAGGCAAACGTGTGTAATATTGTAAGATCTACATTTGATGATGCTCTATATATATATATTTGGGTGGAACAACTTGTTCTTGGATTGGCGCTTAGAATTCTTTACCAGTAGAGAAAATGGCATGATATCAGTTGTTATTGATAATGGTTTTCTAAATGTGCTCTCTCACTCTCTCTTTGTTTCTCTTGGAGGATGGTGTGGTACTAGTTCACTGTAATGCAGGAGTCTCTCGCGCAGCAGCTATCATCATAGGCTTCCTAATGCACTCAGAAGGACTCAATTTTTCCAGGGCCTTTACTTTGGTGAAAAATGCAAGACCTGCTATCTGTCCAAATCCTGGCTTCATGGAGCAACTCCACAAATACCATCAGTGCAATAATAAAAGCAAGGAAACCTAAAACAATATATAATTATGAAAGAGGAAAAAATAGCCTTTGTGCTTGCACTGTACTGAGAGAAGCTGTTGGTTTTTCTTTTTTTACTGCGTTGTAATGAGCTGCCCTGAATTACACCTCTAAAACTGTTGTTATAAAGTTAGCTTCACTCTATTTGTTGTATAATTTTAAGTTCACAACACCTCAAAATAAATATTCTGTGTTTTTTTTAATTTTCAAAAAAGGGGATAGAACAATAAAGAATCAAAATGGATTTGCAAAGCCTCATTGGTTTGGTGGTTGTTTCATCCCTTTTTTAAAAGTATTTGTTTAATTAGAACCACGGAAATCTACAAGTAATATAGAACAGTAACAAAAGCACCAGCAAGGTTACATCACTTGTAATGTTTTTCTACTGATAAAAGTTTGCTTAGGATAACAGAATTAAAGCTTTCACATTAGTATTTGTATTATAATGTTATAGCTGACCAGCAATAATTATTTTTTGGGCAGGCTATTAGCAAAACAATGCAAAAATCATTTAAAACAATAAAAGAAAAAAGCCTATGTTTAAAACCCAATTAAAAGCTTGGGTGAGTAAACAGGCCTTCACCTGGTGCCATAGAGGAGATACCAAGAGAGACCCTCTGGGAGGCTACTCCATTGCCAATGTGCCACTACCAAAAAGGCCTTCTCTTTCATAGCCACCAGCCTCACTTCACTTTTCTGGGAGCACCTGGATTAAGGCCTCCAAAAAGACTCTTACAGCTCAGGTAGGCAAAGATAGGAGGAGTCAATTTTTCATGTGACCTGTTCCCAGCCCATTTCACCTTTATTACCTGTTTATAAAATAATTCAGCCTCCTTAGTAAGGCATTCTGTTCAGGACCAGTTTTATCTCAAGAGCCGATTCTTATCAGAATGTGGGTGTGTTAGAACTCAGTGGGATCAGGCAGTAGATTGTTGGGCTCCAGAACCCAAGGTGAGTCTGGCAGTCAGTCAGAGTAAGGTAGAGATGGACCTGTGGTTCAAAAGAGGCAGGGACCAGATTCCACAGCAGGCAAATAAGGATTTGCGGGACCAGCAGCAAATGCATAGTCAAAAGCAGGAGCCTCAGTGGGAGAGGTAGGAATCGGGGCTTATTTTGTCAGCTTTGCTGGAGGCCAAGCTCCATCAGGCACATCCTGCCCATAAGCTGTATCAGCTGGTCATTATAGGCACAACTGTTTAGAAAGGGATGACTGAATTTTGATTTTGCTCTTCCCTCCCTATTGCTTTTCCCTTGCGCATCATTTTATTTTACAGTCGTACCTCGGAAGTCGAACAGAATCCGTTCCGGAAGTCCATTCGACTTCCAAAACCAAATCACGGCTTCTGATTGGCTGCAGAAAGCTCCTGCAGCCAATCAGAAGCCGCGGAAGCCTCATCAGACGTTCAGGTTCCAAAAGAATGTTCACAAACCGGAACAATCACTTCCGGGTTTGCGGCGTTCAGGAGCCACAACATCCAAGTTCCAGGGCGTTTGGGATCCAAGATTCGACTATATTGTAAGTCTACAGGTAGGGACTGTCCTGTTTTGATTGTAAGCCGGTCAAGGAGCCTTTTTGGCTGAAGAGCAGGGTCCAATAGCTCTAAAAAAAGAAATACCACTTGTTTTTCAGTATTGTTGCTTTAGCTGCATGGGTATAACTCAGCACATAGGTTTGCTATTAGTACATCTTAAAATGACGACAATCCAGTGAATGATGTATCCGCATCATGATTTGTCCTGCTTAGCATCTTTCCTTGGCCTTCCACAGAACCTCTCTCATGGCTGCCCACTTGAATAAAATATGGGGTGGGAGGGAGGTAACTGATCACATGACATGACACGCTCACATAGTCGATCTCATGATATGACATGACACCCCCCCCCATTTGAATGGCAATGCCCATCAACTTTGGGTGGGGCCTGGCTCTGTCAAATATTTTATGGGAGAGGGCGAAGGGACCTTGGCCCCTAGGAGTTGGCTCCTATGACCTCTGTTGTTCATGTTCTATTATACACTAGCTAACCCCTTGTGCAGCTAACAGCAGATCCCCACACAACCAGCAGTCAGATTTGACCAGATTCAACAAAATGATCTTTATTTTTAAACATCCACATCACAGGATTTGTTCAGTGAATTCGTGGGTTGCCCTGGCAACCTGGCCTTTGCTTCTACGTAAGCTAGAAAGAAGACATGAGGGATGTTCTAGAGACAAACTGTTCGATAAGACATTACGAGTGAGACTTGTAACAAAATGCTGCAATGTGTTTCCATTCTACATAAATGCTCTGGTTCAAAACAGCTTCAAAGTGGAGTTGCATTCAGGTCTTTCGGGAAAAGGCTGGGGAGGAAAAGTGCTAGAAGACTCAGGTCTGGAGCTGGATGCCAGTCTGAAACCTATGCATTTTATTTCCTTCTGGCTGTGAAGAATGGGAATCCAAAAGTGTCATTTCCCTCTTTTTGAATGGTCTCTCCACTGGTTGTTTTACAAACAAACCTATCTAACCTTTGCACCTTTGCATACAAGAACTGCTCCATCTCCTCAATCATTTTGGTTGCCTTTTTTGAGCTGAGGCCACTGGAACACATCATTCCGAACGCAGTCACACCATTGATTTGTATAACGGCACGATGTTGGAAGTTTTATTTTCAGTTCCTTCACCAATGACCCCTAGCATTGAATCTGTCTTTTTCACACACACACTGAAATCTTGATTGAGCCGTCCCCTTGGACCCCAAACCAAGGTCTTGTCCCTGGTCAGTCACCGCCAGTTCAGGCACTTTTACTTGTGAGTAATGCTCCTGTTTCTCAGCATCAGCCTTCCTTTCCTCAACCCAACTCATATTGCATTTGCAATAGGAGGGCGACAACAATTTAATTACACCATCATTAGCGCAGAAAGCATTCAAGAATGTTACCGGAAAAATCCGAGGGCTCCCTTGGACAAAATAAAGACACCAACCAGGATAACTTGGAGCAAAACAGCAGCCTGTAGGCTTGGCCTTTATTGAACTGTTGCAACAGGGTGTTCCCCTCACTTGCGAGAGAGAGGAAAGACCCAGAAAGATGGTGTGCAAGACCTTATAAAAACTTTTGAAATTCCCATCCTCTAGGTCAAGCCCACCCCCAGAAACATCATGCATACATTACAGAAAGGAGGGGTTGACATCATGCATACATTACAGAAAGGAGGGGTTGAGGGAGGAGTTGTGGTGGTAACCTGAGTGTCCTGTCACCTGGCTGGTTCCTCCTTTCCCCCTCCCCATGAGTCACTTCCAGGAGACAAAGGGGGGTTGGCAGTTTCCTGCCCCCAGAGGGAAGATCTGATCATTGTCCTTTGTTTCAGTCCATGCTGAATCCACTCCCATATGCAAGTTCTTTGTGATCTTGATGGTCTTCTGTCTAGGACCATCAGGGTTGGCATAGCAACTGGGCAGGGCTCCTGTGGATGTGCTGGGATGGTGAAGGGATTATGGCTGACCAGAACCAAGCCACCCCCCTTTGATAGTCCTTGTCATATGGAGTAAAATAAAAATGGAACAGTGCAAATCCGATGTATGGTTGATTTTTCTATGAATTTATAACAGAAGTGTGGCATATGTAGTGTGTGAGTGTGAGTGTGTGAAGTTTGTACAAACTGAATGATTGGGGTGGGGGGTTCCTGCTACAAGAACTTAAACTGAACATGTTTAAAGACCTGAGTTTGAAAGAACATGGCAAGGCAATTTAGCAAATGTCTAAAGCAGTGTTGGTTTTCCAGCTGCTTTTAGACTACAATTCCCATCATCCCTGTCCACTGATCTTGCCAGCTAGGGATATTTGGAGTTGTAGTCCAAAAACAGCTGGCGACCCAAGCTTGGGAAACACTGGCCCAAACGTTGGTTTCAGTAAGGCTTCCTTCCAAGTGAGGGAGTGCAGAGCTGCATCCCGAGTTCTCTTTTCTTCCTCTTGTGGGGCAGAAGAACACACACAAATCGCAGCCTCGTTAAAAAAATCCTTCTTGTCCCCCTATTAGCACCCCCTTGCTATGCCTTAAAATGTTAAGTGTTTTGACATCGCAGCGAGAATGTGTGTTGAGAGAGAGAGAGAGAGAGAGAGAGAGAGAGAGAGAGAGAGAGAGAGAGAGAGAGAGAGAGAGAGAGAGAGAGAGATGGACGGACCATAGAGAAGAAATGCGTAGAAAAGACCGCGTCGCTCTCCTCTCTATGGCGGAAGTGAAGACGCTCGCTCGCTCGCTCTCGGAAGGGAAGTGACGTTTTCCCAACCACGGCGCTGCGCTTGCGCTGCATTTGAAAGCGGCAAGCTGAGGGCAGGAGTCGGGTGTGTGTAGTGGGTCGCGCGGCTGCTTTCGCCATGGAGCTGTCTCTGCCTTCCTCCTCTTCCGTGGGTGAGTTTACCCTCTGGGCCGAGCCTTGAGGGTGTCTCTCTCGGCGGGTTCGCTTTCCGGCTCCTGCCGCTCCTCTCCCCGCCTGAGAAGTTTGTGGCCGTTTAACGGCCGCCCTGAAGCCGTGGCGTGGGAGGGGGCGTGGCTCAGTTCTGGCTCGGGTGGGGAGGGGCGGGGCCTCTTCCTGGCGACCGGTGGCTGTGACGTCACTTTGGCGTCGGAACGCGGGATTCCTTGACTGCTTTGGGGCGAGTGGGGGGCGAGGGGAGATAAGCGCCCTGGTTCTCCAGCCCATCGCCGGGAGCCATGAAACCCCAAGATGTCTTCATGCGCGTTCAGACGACCACCTCGGCCCCTGGTCGAGAAGTTACGTTGACCTTTAGGCCTGTTGGCTCAGGTGCGTTCTGCAGGGGAAGTAATATTTGGACCCTGTGGATTTTTATCTTGTGAACTGCCCTGAGATCTGTAGTTAAAGGGTGGGATACAAATTTAATAATAATAATAATAATAATTCCTGTTTCCTTGTGAAGCATATGGGTGATGTTGTTTGAAGGGATTCCCCCATTTACACGTGTTCAATTCACGTGTAACCGTGCATATGAGCGGCCCTGGAAATCAATAAGTGTGTGGGGGGGAGAGAGGCTTGATGAGCCTCAGCAAAGCCCTGCTGCACCTCTAGCTTGTGAGGAGACCCCAGAGGTTGAAGGGGGCATCATCTTCGGGCTCGGGGAGGGTCTCCTCTTGACCTGAAGGTGCAATGGCACGCATGGGGGTTTGGAATGTAACCCCTGCGTAAATGAGGGTTGCCTGTGTTTATTTCATGAAAATTAAGCATTGCTTGCTGTTAACAGAAACAAACTCTCAAAGTAATAAAAAGCAATATAATTATCGTTAAGAAAAAGTAACAACAATAATCTTGAAACTTCTGAAAAGCTAAAATAAGATCTTCAGGCTAGTTCACTGTTCTGTCAATTACCCTCAGAGCATTGTTAGATAAAATGGGGCAGCTACATTGATGCTGCCATTTTGTATTTTGTTAAAGATATTGCCTGCTCCTTGTTTTTCTTTATGTGTTGACCTCTTTAGATGACTAGACCTTTAAATGAGTTGGTTAGCTAACTGTTTTGGATCACCTTTTACAGTGTTTCTATAAAGTTGTGTTTGGGGATAGCTAGATCATTCAGTCTGTGGAGACTTAGTAAGCCATGCACACCCTTTCCCAATGCAGGTACTGAGCCAATGACATTGGGTTCCCCTACCTCTCCCAAGCCTGGTGCTGGTGCTCAATTCCTGCCTGGATTTTTGATGGGCGATTTACCAACTCCTGTGACACCACAGCCTCGATCCTTCAGTGGCCCTTCCGTTGGTGTGATGGAAGTGAGGTCACCATTGCATGCTGGTAAGTTGGTTCTGAACTGAAACCTCTAGTATTGGGGTGGTAGGGGAAGAGTGTGCCTATCCATTTTGGTGTGCTACAGTTCAAATATACTGGTACCTCTTGCCTTTAGCTCCAAGGATCAGAGGCTAAATAAAGTGCCATTGTTGCATGTTTTAAGCACAGTGATTGACCTCCTTTATTTGCTGTTAGACCCAAAATCACTTGCAAAGAAGGGAGGCTGCTGTCAAAACCAATTAGATCCCATTCATTATTTGGATGTACTCCTGCCTTATCAAGAGTCCGTCTATAGTGGTACCTCTGGTTACGAACTTATAATAATAATAATAATAATAATAATAATAAATTTTATTTATATCCCACCCTCCCCAGCCGAAGCCGGGCTCAGGGCGGCTAACAACAATAAAACAGTACAAAAGTACAGCATAGACAACAGTCTGAAATCATTCGTTATAAAATTAATTAATTCAAGCCACTGGCAACCATTGGGTCAGAGCTCCGCGAAGATTGCCGAGGGAGGGAGTCAGGCTGTGCCCTGGCCAAAGGCCTGGTGGAACAGCTCTGTCTTGCAGGCCCTGCGGAAAGATGTCAAGTCCCGCAGGGCCCTGGTCTCTTGTGACAGAGTGTTCCACCAGATCGGAGCCACAGCCGAAAAAGCCCTGGCTCTAGTTGAGGCCAGCCTAACTTCTCTGTGGCCTGGGACCTTCAAGATGTTTTTATTCGAAGACCGTAAGTTTCTCTGTGGGGCATACCAGGAGAGGCGGTCCCTGTTCTGGAGGTCCGTTCTTAAGCCAAAACCGCTCGTAACATGAGGTGCGCTTTCGCTAATGGCGCCTGCTGGCGTGCGACTTCCGCTCGCATCCCGGGGCAAAGTTCCGGGTTAGCGGAGCATCTACTTCCAGGTTAGCGGAGCTCGTAACCCAACGTGTTCACTAAGAGGATGGTATGTAACACGAAGTTCCACTGTATTTGGATTAGATTCATTGTGTTTTACTTGTATTTCATAAGCAAAGCCTTAGAAGTATGTCACATTAATTTCATACGCCGTATAAATATTGCAACCCTCCCAGTAACCCAAAGTGAACTACTTGATGGGGGGGATGGGGACGACGCACAGTAAAATGCCCTGAACTTAATTTCAAACTGTAATTTGAAATTATTTCATTGGAATTTTATTGGAATATTTGTGAATATTTTCAGACAGAAGAATTCAATAGTGAATACTTCCTCATTGTTAGAATTTTATTTTTTAAAAATTAAGGCATTGAAAACTAGGGCTTTCCCATTTGCAAGTGCCAGCCATGTTTTTCCCCTTGCTGTGTGTGTGTGTGTGTGAGAGAGAGAGAGAGATGCCCCCCCTCAGATAATCTGATGGTGCCGCTGGAGATGTTGCATCATATAAACCAGGGGTATCCAACTTCCAAGAGACTGCGATCTACTCCCACTATAAAAAAACTGGCAGTGATCTACCCATCAAAGTTATTGAGCTTTTTGGAAGACCACTGCTTCCCACTAAACTTTACAGATGTCTTAACACAGGAAAATGGATGCATATTCACTGTCAGTCGAAATTGCAAGCCCGGAAAGCCTTGAGCAAAGATGGAAGAATTATTGGGGGGGGCACGGGGTCCCATGATTGTCCAGGATCGACCAGGGAAACCCCACAATTGACTGGTAGATTGCAATCGACCTGTTGGACACTCCTGATAAAAACAAAATGGATTTGTGTTTTAATTCCCAATAAATGGCAGGAATTACCTTAATACTATGCCAGCAGTTGATTACATTACCAAGGTTTCATTCATTTAAATCATAAAGCATGTCCGTTCCTAATAAAGCCTAGTTTTGGAAGAATTGTATACCTGGTTTGGGTGTAACAAGATGTTTAGGATCAGAAAGAAGAACACACCAGCAGCTTGTAACGTTGTGCTGTATTTCATATAGGTGGATCTCCTCCACAGCCAGTAGTTCCAACACACAAAGATAAAGGTGGTGCTCCACCAGTTAGAAGTATATACGATGAAGTAGCCAGCCCAGGTCTTGGATCAACAACTCTGACTTCAAGAAGGCCCGTAAGTGACCATTAATGAGGCTGCAAAGTTAAACCTGTTTGTGGTAACTAATTCTCATTCTTCTCTAGCTTGATAGACATTTCAGCTGTTGGATACATTTGCTGTGGTTGGGAAAAACTAGTACAGTGATACCTCGGGTTACATACACTTCAGGTTACATATGCTTCAGGTTACAGACTCAGCTAACCCAGAAATAGTGCTTCAGGTTAAGAACTTTGCTTCAGGGTGAGAACAGAAATCGTGCTCCGGCAGTGCAGCAGCAGCAGCAGGAGGCCCCATTTGCTAAAGTGGTGCTTCAGCTTAAGAACAGTTTCAGGTTAAGAACAGACCTCCAGAACGAATTAAGTACTTAACCCGAGGTACCACTGTAACTAAGTGCTTCCAGTATGCTAAGCAGTTTAGATTGTGTGTCATCTTGTAAGTTCAGTGTGGAAAATATTTAAAAAGTTGCTTTCATCATTTTAATTTTTAGTGGGCTATACATCAGTTCTAAAGGCAAATAAAGATGCACAAGCAATTGCGCTCTCTCTCTCTGTGTGCATGTGTGTGTGCACGTGTGTATATGTATATGTATATGTATATGTATATATGGCAATTGGAATGGTACTGTCAACTTGTTACTAAGGTCAGTCTGGTAGCTGAGATGTAGAGAGATGAGTTCACACTATAATTGCTATGTTGCTGGAAAATATGTAGGTTGAAATATCCATCTATTAGTTTTGCCTAACTTTACCCTCTGTGGCTGATGATGAACCTTGTCTGCATCTCAGTACTGCAGAAGAGTAGTATATCAACTGGGGCTAAATATGATAGCCGGGATGCAAAATGGGGATTTGGAGGATGTCTGTAAAAGGAATCCCAATACCATGTACCATTTAACTTTATACTTTCAGTAGTCAATTCAGTTTTGTTAGTTCTAAAAAGGACGTAGAAGATACCCCCTTTCACAGCAGTTCAGTAGATACATGCATGCCGGTTCAAGTTTTTAATCTATAATATTGTCTGATTTTTACTGTGGAAGTGTTATCTAAGTGGTGCAGAATAGTTAATTTTCTGACTTTCAAAACAGCTTCAAACCAAGTTCTGCACTTTTATGCAGGTCAGCTTTTCGGTGACGCAGAGTCCACTTGTTGGATCTATGCCAGTGACTCCTGGAACAGGTAGGACATCATACTGCTTCATATAGTGCTCTAGCATGCTAATCATATGCTTTTTCTATAGGCAAACCAGACATCTGCATGTGGCACTGACAAAGGCTGCAATCCTATACCAATCTCCCTGGGAGTAAACCTCATTAAAATCAATAAGACTTACTTATGAGAGAATATGTATAGGTTTGCAATGTAAAATGTTCCTGTAGGCCTGACAGCCTGGTGCACATTAACTGAGCCTTGGCTTCTGTTATGAAGTAGGCAGAGAGATAGTAGCAAAGTTGTTGTCATGATGCCAGATACAGTTTGTCTTCAGAAGTGAAAATATTGGTCTGAGATTCTGCTACAGTGGTACCTCTGGATGCGAACGGGATCCAGAGTATATATGATCTGCTTAATGGTAGATGGGATAGCTTGCTCCTAGAACCGTTCTTGTATAGAACGTTAGTTATAGAGGGAGGTTGAGCTATTCTACTGGCTTTTGAGATGCCATTGTCAACACTAGCAGCTTTTTCCTACTATTCTAACATGTGAACAACAGTATGATTCTTGTTACTTGAGTTCTGTGTTAATGCATGGTGTTTGCTCTTTGTTTCAAATTAAAATGCCTAGTTCAGTTTTAACTATAGTGATAGTTGAGGTGCATCTTACCACAATTTAACAGGTGCCAGTGTTTTCAGTCCAGCGACTCTTGCACAACCCAGGAAGAGCACAATGTCACCAGCTCAACTAGATCCATTCTATACTCAAGGAGATGCCCTAACATCCGATGATCATCTAGATGACACTTGGGTAACAGTGTTTGGGTAAGTTAGCTGCAGTTCTGTAAGACTGAGAGGTGGTTATGTTGCCAGGGATGAGCATGTACTCATTTAAACATGGGTCTTAACAGGCTTACCTAAGCTTTTCAGGGGCTGGGATTCAAGTTATGTTGGGGCATAGGATGATGATAAAAAATATAAGAGATGAGACATGTGGATTTCTGCAGTTCATACAACTTGGATGATGTTTGTTCAGATTCCTCTTATATTTGGTGTTTGGTCTTGGCTATTCATGTTTTATTAATTTAGGAGATTCATTGTTTATTAACATAGTAAAGTTTATATAATAGGACAATTGAAACATTCTAAACATCTTAATTCTTCATCTTTACTCTCCTATCTGTACACTGAAACACATCCTGGTCTACAATCAATGCTAAACAGAAGTATTTGGACTTCAGTCTTCTAGTGCTGTACTTGAGCTAAACTGTGCTGTGTTTTGACCTCTCTCCTTTTCCCATCTTACTCCATGAGACAAACTAAAATGTAGGGATGGGAAATAGGTAGCAGGTTTGGCAGTGTTTGGAGATACAGGTGACACTGATCTGCCCTTCTGGATACACTGCCAGTGGTTTAACGTTGACTGAATTTTGAGTGGTTAAATTTTATTTCTGTTTTTTATTTCCTGTCAATATTTCAGGTTTCCTCAAGCATCTGCTTCGTACATCCTACTACAGTTTGCACAGTATGGAAACATTTTAAAGCATGTTGTAAGTCTAGATTAGTACCTCTTTTTTATATATATAAAAATAAAGCTCAGCCATTATGCTTAGCTTACTGTCTAAATCTTACTGCTTCCTACTAAACTTTACAGATGTCTAACACAGGAAACTGGATGCATATTCACTATCAGTCAAAATTGCAAGCCCGGAAAGCCTTGAGTAAAGATGGAAGAATTTTTGGTGAATCCATCATGATTGGAGTGAAGCCTTGTATAGATAAAGTAAGTTGATTTAATATTCATTCATTCATTTACTTACTTGCTTGCTTACTTACTTATTTATTTATTTACTCACCACCACCTGTGCAAAGTTGTGATTGTGTAAGTTAAACAAGCATAAGATGACTGTATAAAAATTCTGGACTTTGTCACAAAGTGTGGATGACTCTTAATCCCGTGACCACCATTTTTGTCTTGCACAGATTGGCAATTTCTGTATATCAATACACTTTAGCCGAGCGCCTCAATGCACTTTAGCAGAGTCCCTCAATGATCTTAATTTGAAGTTTGGCCTGATGTGATAACATGAGGAACTACCAATACAGGACATTATAGGAATAACAATGTGGAGAATTGGGTAGATAAGCTGACTACAATGTTTTGGGTACTGTATTTAGTATTTTGCTTCCATTCCAGAATGATAGAGTGGTGAACTAATAGTCATATTGCATATCTGGAGGCCACTATATTAAAGGAAAATCTTCTTTATAGATTGAGTGCCAAACATAATAGCTAGCTTTTCAATGTCAATATATATCATATTTCAAAAACGCAAACTCTAACCTTTACCATGTCAGCCTACCTCAAAAGTATCATTAGAAGTCTAGCTTCTAATGATCCTGTATTCCTCAGCCATGTCTGTGTTTGGTATCAGGCCCTCATAGCTTGTTAAATCACTGTTGACATATTTCACTAGCACAGTTTGGTAATCAGACAAGTTCCAGTAAGTGAACTCTTCTGTACTGTCTCTTCAGTGAGAAGGGAGACTAGTGCTAGTGATGAAACCTTACTTTCTTAGGCTTCCAAAAATGCTTGGACTCTGATAACTACTTTGTCTGAATGGACTACTTGATCTCTGTTTGCAGAATGTGATGGAAAGCACAGACAGATGCACTGTATCGTCCCCATCTTCAGCCTTTACGCCACCAATGAAAACACTGGGCACACCAGTGCAGCCTTCAAGCGCTCAAAGAATCTCTACTATGAGACCTCTTGCTACAGCTTATAAAGCATCAACCAGTGACTACCAGGTATTTAGGGAATACTGTGAAAAAGTCACCTTTAGCGCTGGATTAAAGGAATTAGCATTTGTTCATTTAGAATATACAGATCTGCTACTTTGTGTGTGTTTCTTTTTTAGGTGGTTTCTGACAGACAGACTCCAAGGAAAGATGAAAGCATTGTCTCCAAAGCTCTGGAATACATGTTTGGCTGGTAGCAGAAGGAACTAAACTTAGCTGGAGCTTGTAATAGGCTGTCAGTGCCTCTGGTTAGTTGTATAACCATTAATGGCAGCATTTCAACATCACCTCTGCCTTCTGAAAAAGAACTTGGCACACATGTAATTTGCACTTTAACCGGCAGCTGGATTTACACTTTATTCTTAAGATGTTAAACTGTTGAAACCAGTGTTTAATAGTCTTACCTTCTATAGTGAATGCATGGTTCAAGTAAAAATGAACTTTTACCTGACAAGCAAGTCTTGGTTTCAGGACGTGATAACACTGTTTGTAATTTCTCATGGTTTTATTTCTCGCCTGGAAATGTGGTATAAACTCTCTAGAGGTTGCTGCATAAAATGCTGGCATAGATTTTGCTAGTTTTAAACCAAATACTTTAATTTGAATGTTGTTCCAAACACAATCGTGTTTATATAAACTTGATTGGACAGGTTGTTTCTTAATCCACAAGTGTCAAACCTTTTTGTATCTTTCTTAATAAAAAAAATTGTGGTGCTATTGATTTGTGAGCTGCCTCTGGTTTATATAAGTCATTCAATTCAAATAAACATCAGATCTGTACAAATGTCACTACAAAACCTTCTAGGTAACTTGGGGAGCAATCCTAGGTTCACCTAGAGACTTAAGCAGGCTAAATGCCAGCTGAGAGGGGGAGGACTGCTGGCAGGATGCCATGCCACTGTATCCAGAGTGCCTCTGTTCTCCTGGCCATGGCCATTAAGGCTAAAGCAGCCCTCGGGCTATGAATGTAAATTCCCTCACACTGCAGTCAATAAGAGGGGAAAAGGTAGGTGCTGCTTCTCTCCTGTCTTGGCAGCAATATAATTGCAGGGCCCAGGACAGATCTTTCTCTCTTACCCTTGTCAGGGAATAAAGGTTTGCTCACTAAATCACATACATATTTTTGAGCAGTGTACAACGAAATGAATAATGGCAAGAATACAAAGCAACCTTGTCTAATACTTTGCAGGAATGTGCCAACCAGCAGGGGTGCCTAGACACAACAAATTCCCCCTCCAGATACTGTGACAATATGGCTTAAATGCTGCTGCTTCATTAATTTATCTGCCTGCAGCCCTGCAATTGGAAAATTGTGCAAATGAAGTAGACTTTATTTTCTCACTTTTCTATCATGGCAGATACCTAAAACTACATTATATGGAGTTCTTAACGTGAGCTAGCTACTGGGGCAAAGAGGTTATTCTCTATGCAATAGCGTGAACACAGATCAGTCCATGAACACCTATAAGGAGTTTATTCATCTTTGAAGTGCAAAAAGATTTCCTTTTTTATTTGGCTTCCCTACTTTGTCTGTGCTCCCAGCTGGCATACAGGTACCCCTCTGGAATTATTAATCCTCTGGTATCTTGGCATTTTAAGCTAGATGATGTGGGAGCGAAGGTGGAGTCACATAGCTCTGTAATTGCTACTTGACATCTCTAGTTCTTGAGAACAGTGAAAACTGATGTTGCATTTTATCTCTGTAGACTTAGGAACTTTACCTGTGTGCCGACTGAAAGGCATCAGATAAGCACTTCAGATGAAGAAAAATCATCAATATTTAAAGCTTTCATAAAGTGTAATAGTAACATACTCTGCATCGTTAATGAACCATTTTGTTGAGTTGTGTCTCATCTGCCCATTTACTGGCAGCCTTTGCAGAGTGTTAGCATGCTGTTTAAAAACCCTTTCACTTCAGAACAAATTGCATGGATCCACAGAGTAGCAATAATTACATGTACTAGATCTTCCGTTCAACTCATTTTTGTCAAAGCTGTGTGTAACCTGCAGGCCTAAGATAGCTTTGTGTTAAGACACCTATAAAGCCTAGTATTCTTGAACTGAAACTTAAGATGCTTACAGAAATACTGATTCATTAGTAACAAGAAAGCATGTAAAAATATACCAGCTTTGCACACAGGCTTCATCTGACTTTTTCCACTTAAGTTTTAGCAGTGCTTTTTTTCTTTAAAAAAGTTTGACTCAAAAATATCACCATTTTATAGTTCAATTTGGGGGGGAAATTTCAGCAAATGGACAAAAGTACAAAGATTCACAAAATGTTTAGGGGTATGTGTACCCCCCAGAAAAAAAGCACTGAGATCTAGTACCTGTAGGTTTTCATGGCTCACTGGAAGGACAGATCGTGAAGCTGAGGCTCCAATACCTTGGCCACCTCATGAGAAGAGAAGACTCCCTGGAAAAGACCCTGCTGCTGGGAAAGATGGAGGGCACAAGGAGAAGGGGATGACAGAAGACGAGATGGTTGGACAGTGTTCTCAAAGCTACCAACATGAGTGACCAAATTGCGGGAGGCAGTGGAAGACAGGCGTGCCTGGCGTGCTCTGGTCCATGGGGTCACGAAGAGTCGGACACGACTAAACGACTTAACAACAAGGTTTTCATGAAAATAACATGCAATACTACAGTGATAACTTAGAAGTGCATTTCAGACAAATGAGCTTGGAAAAATGGCAGATAAATGTAATGTTGATGGTACTTGGTATTGCACAGATATTCCAATGAAATAAATTGCATCTGTTAAATTCTCTTTGCTTTACAGCCTTGCTTCCAGGGCCAGTAAGCCTGGGCATCCTTGTTACCACCTCAGAGGCCAGCTCAGTAATCCTGTCCAGTACAATAGCATACAGTTAGTAGTGCTCATCTGTTCAATGTTGTGAAAAGTAAGCATGTGTACTTTTCTGCGTTCACTCATTCCTCTTACGGCTTAGTTCTTTTCCTATACAGCTGCCATTTTAATTTGTGCATCCCATTCTACCCCTCTCACTATTCCAGGCTCCCTGTGCAGGCGATGTAAATGTTTCAAGCGCTGTAAATCCTATTTTGACAGAAAGTGCCTCTGAACCTTTTGTGGACACAGGAGGAGCGGGAGATAAAAACACTGCTCAAAGAAAATCTTTAATTAACACTGTTTTTTTAAAAAATCTGAAAATCGGTTCTTCACATACATTTGACTTATAGATGACTGCCACCTTGTGGTGTCTAACTGAAGCTGTTCTGCTATGCAAGTAAACTGGTTGGCATCCGTCTGTCTCGGGAGACAATTGAAGAGTGCGCCTTCAGAGGTGAATTGAAACCATTGGAAAGTTGCAGCTTCCACTTTGATTGTAGGGGCCAATACAGGAGAGACATGTTTTGCCGCAGCAGAAGCAGGTGAAGGTGCCCATGGTGTTGTGATGCAGGTGCACCATGGCGTTCCTTCTCTTTGCGTTCCTCCCAGCAGTTATTCTTCCTCTGGTCACTGCTGTGGATGCACGACCTGACGGTCTGTCTCCAGGCACCGCGGTCGTCTTGCAAGGGATTCCCACATGGCGGGGTGAACGTTGCCAGCTTTCATCTCCCGTCTGCAGACATCTTTGTAACGCAGAGCTGGTCTGCCAACAGGCCTGGTGCCCGCTCCCTATAAAGCATATCCTTTGCAAGTAAACGGAAGGCTTGGAAGACCGATGGTGGCAGTTCAAATAAATGGATGTTGCTGTTTAAAAATCTGTAGCAGCCTTGTACAGTGGTACCTCGGGTTAAGAACTTAATTCGTTCTGGAGGTCCGTTCTTAACCTGAATCTGTTCTCATCCTGAAGCAAAGTTCTTAACCCGAGGTACTATTTCTGGGTTAGCGGAGTCTGTAACCTGAAGCGTCTGCAACCCGAGGGACCACTGTATTTAAGCACTAGTCAATGGGTACATGGAATTCTAAGCGGCTGCAGCCTGGCAAAGGGACAGCATTCTGCCTCTGTGTTGCACCCAGAAGCAGTGGGAAAGCAGTATGCTCCAGCACCAGTGGTGGAGAGCAGGTGGGGGCGTGGCTGGTGCGCGTCGCAGGGGCGTGGTGTCCACTGGGGTGAAGCCCGTGGTGCGGGGGTGCGCGGCGCGTGTCCAGGGGGGGCAGCTGCGATAGTACCCCGATGGTGCCGGGGGCGGTGCGCTCCCCCCCGTTCCTCTGCCAGTGCCCAGGAGTCTAACCATTGCATTCTGCTGGAGTTTCCATATAGGGTACATTGTTGGTAAGTCTCAAGCTTACCAATGCATTGGCTGCAGTGATCAGGCTATCCAGATGGGCACCTCCTAGGCACAAAAGTCACATGGTCCGCTAATGATAAAGAGGTATCTTGGGGTATCTCCAAGCTCTATAGCTGCTCCTATAGCTGCTCTATAGCTGAAGAAGTGTGATCCCAACCAGAACAGATAATTGACCTCTATTTTGAGACACAAGGCTACTTAGCCACAAGGCCTTAGTCTTCCCAGGATTCAAACTCAGCACGTGGGTCCTTATCCAGGCCACCGCTCTATTCAGACGCTGGTCCAGAGGGAAGGGAATCTCCAAAGGCCTTTTGAGGCTCCAAAGGGGTTTCTTGCCATTGCTCACTGAGGAAGGAACCAGGAAGTAGCAAGGAAAAAGGATCCACTAATCAACAAAAGGTAAAGGAATTGAGGGGGGCGGGGAAATAGAGGGAATCCACAGCAAGGAAAAATAATCTTAAAATCCAAGGGAAAGTAGGTTTAAAAACACGTGGACTTTACAGTGACCAGGACCCCATCTGCCCAGCTTGAAAGGCAGGGCTGGTCTGGGGACTGTGGGATGGCTCCTACCCCAGCAAGGATGTTCATGTGACCCTGCCTATCTAGTCAGTGGGAGAAGCCAAGCTCAGCATAAAGGCTGTCTTCCCAGAGTCTCTGGGAATAGAAATTCACGGTAAGAATTTCCTT